GGCCTCTCGAAATGATATAACCACCTCAGGAAACAATTTGGCAGTTTTTTCCAAAGTTAAACATTCACTCCCCTGACCGGTGTAGCTCAGTTGGTTGAGCATTGTGCCATCCAGAGGTCTCTGGTTTCATTTCTGGTCAGGATACATGCCCAGGTTGTAGGGGGAGTACAAGAGGCAGTCAATCAATGTTTCTAATCAACGTTTTTCTCTCTCTCTTCTTCTCTCTCTCTAAAAGAAAGAAAAATCAATAAAAACTATATATTTTTAAAAATAAACATACAGCCGAAACTGGTTTGGCTCAGTGGTAGAGAGTCGGTCTGCAGACTGAAAGGTCCCGGGTTTGATTCCGGTCAAGGGCATCTACAGAGTCCTAAAAACAGAATGGAAGATCACAAGAATCAAGTCAAAGAATTGGAACATAAAGAGCCAGAAGATACTCCTCCGCAGAAGCAAGAAGACAGGAGAATCCAAAAAGTTGAAGATAATGTAAAAAACTTCTGAGACAACTTCAAGCAAACCAACATCAGAATTATGGGGGTCCCAGAAGAAGAGAGAGAGTAAGATACCGAAAACATACTGAAAGAAATAGTGACAGAAAACTTCCCTCACCTGGTGAAAGAATTAGACTTACAAGTCCAGGAAGCGCACAGAACTCCAGACAAAAGGAATCCAAAGAGGACCACACCAAGACAAATCATATTTAAAATTCCAAGAGCAAAAAACAAAGAGAGAATATTAAAAGCAGCAAGAGAGAAACAGGTAGTTACCTATAAAGGAGCACCCATACGATTGTCAGCTGATTTCTCAACAGAAACCATGCAGGCCAGATGGGAATGGTAAGAAATATTCAAGGTCATAAATAGCAAGAACCTACAGCCAAAAATAATATACCCAGGAAAGCTATCACTCAGAATTGAAGGCCAGATAAAGAGCTTCACTAATAAAAAATAAAAAATAAAAAGCTAAAGGAGTTCATCACCGCCAAACCAGAATTATATGAATTGCTGAAGGGGGTTCTTTCGGAAAAGAAAGAAAATAAAGATAAAAATTATGAACAACAAATACATAACTATCAACAAGTGAATCTAAAAACCAAGGGAATTTTCAAAAATCTGATGAACAATATTAACTGGTGAATATAATAGAATCAGAGGTATGGAAGGGGAGTGAACTGATGATTCTCGGGGAAAGGGGGAGTAGGGGGTGTGGGAAGAGACTGAACACAAACTGTGCACCTATGGATGAGGACAATGGGGGGGAGGGAAAGAGCAGAGGATGGGGTGGGAACCTGGTGGAGGGGAGCAATGGAAGGAGAAAAAAAATGAGGAACATTTGTAATAATATGAACAATAGAGATTTATTATTTAAAAATCAATCAATAAATATTTTTAAAATATATTTTATTGATTTTTTACAGAGAGGAAAGGAGAGGGAGAGAGAGTTAGAAACATCAATGAGATAGAAGCTGGGAATGTGCATGCAACCAAGGTACATGCCCTTGACCGGAATGAAACCTGGGACCTTTCAGTCCGAAGGCCGATGCTCTATCCACTTAGCCAAACCAGTTAGGGCAATAATAAATAAATTTTTTTTAATTAAAAAAAACCACTATGACATTGGTTTAAAAATAGATCTGTGAATATACTACAGAATCCGTTAGTAGATGTCAATATATGTGAGAACTATTTTTAGGTAAAAAACGTCTCCAAGTTTGCAAAGCTTAAAATGCCTAAGCAAGCAATGGACCCAGGTCTAGCTAACTCCTAAAATCCTTTATTTTTATTATTTTCTTTTTTGAGTAGGTAATACTCAAAATACCATTTTGTATGTTACAAAATACAAAAGGGTGAAAACTTTTCCTGTCAACATTTCCTGTTTCCTCTATGTCCTCTGTCTCTCTATGGAGACAAACAATGAAACAGGGCTCTTGTCTGTCCTTCCAAGAATATGCAAATTAACGTATAAATCAAAAGATGCCATTAAGAAAATAAACAACCAAGGAACAAGCTACAAAAAATATTTATACTACATATATCTGACAAAGGATTCATAACCTGAATATATAAACATATAATTCCAGAAATCAACAACAGAAAGACAACTCAAATTTTTTAAATAGGCAAAAGGCTTAAATAGATTCTTTATATAAGATGATACACTAATGGTCAATAAGCACATGAAAGTGTTCAATGCCATTGATTATTGGGAAAATGCAAATTAAAATCGCACTCCACTAAAATAGAAACAGACTAGCAAAAGCAATCATTGGTGGAGTCCTGTGGATCCAACTAATATTCTTATACATTGCTGGTGGGAGTGTAAATGATACAACCACACTGGAAAAAAGTTGTACAACTTGTTAGAAAGTGAAACATACATCACTTCCATGACTGGCTTCTTGGTATTTTCCCAAAAGAAATGGAAAAATTTACACACAAAACATTTGTGCATGAATCTTCTTAACAGCCTTATTAGTAATAACTCCAAACTGGAAGCAATCCAAATTTCCATCACCAGGTAAATAAATGACTTGTGGTATTTTAATAAGTAGAATACTACTGAGCAATAGAAGGTACAAACAGTTGATAGGTGCAAAACATAGATTAATCTTAAAAACATATCCAGTGAAACAAGCCATTCATAATGGAGCATATACTGTAGATATATATATATATATATATATATATATATATATATATATATATGAAGCTGTAAAACAAGCAAAACTAATATATGAGAGTAAAAAAATCAGAAAGTGGTTGCCTCTTGTTGAGGGGTTGACTATACATGGATGTAAGAGAACCTTCTGGGGACATGGGAAATTAAAAAAAAAAAATTATTTAACCTTACCCTAGGATATACGTGTATATATATTTACTTATTATTGATTTTAGAAAGAGAGGAGAAAGAAACATCAGTCAGTTCCCCCTACCCTAACCAGGGATGGAACCTGTAACCTTACAGTGGAACCAACCATCTGAACCACACCAGCCAGGGTAAGTTTGTTTTTAATTAAAAAAAAAAAAAAATTTTGTTGTTGATTTCAGAGAGGAAGGGAGAGAGAGAGAGAAAGAGAGAGAGAGAGAGAGAGAGAGAGAGAGTAATATCAATAATGAAAGAGAATCATTGATCAGCTGCCTCGTGCACATCCCCCACTGTAGATCAACCCACAATCCGGGCATGTGCCCTGACTGGGAATCGAACCGTGACCTCCTGGTTCATAAGTTGACCACTGAGCCAAGGCAAGTTTTGATGATTACATGGGAGTATACAAAATTCATTAAATGAAACAGTTAAGATCTATACATTTTATTGTGTAAAAAAGGGGAGAAATTAAGAGATGGAGAAGGGATCTACAGATTAAAAGAAACTTACTTAATTGCAAGGTATGAATTATGATTCAAACAATCAAACTAAAAAATATGAGAAAATTGGAAATTTGAACACTTATTGCTTATTTGATGAGATAAAGAACTTGCTGCATTTTAAAGACATTATTATATTTAAAAATAAAACTTGGAAAATGGCAAAATTATATAAATGGATAATAGATTAGGGGTTCTCAGGTTCTAAGAAGGAGTGAGGTAGGAGGGATGTGGGCAGGTATGGGTTAAAAAGAGCAACACCAGGGACCCCTTGTGGTGGAAATGTTCTGTATAATGATTAAATTGTCAGTATCCTAGTTGTGATATTGCATACAATTGTGTATAGTTTTGCAATATATTTACATAAAGAGAAGTAAGTAAAGGGTCCACAGGATTTCTCTGTATTATTTCTTACAAGTGCATGTGAATCTATATTTCAAAATAAAAAGCTTATCCCATATAATAAAAGGCTAACATGCAAATCAACTGAACAGTGGAATGACACGTCACTATAATGCTCACTGACCACCAGGGGCAGATGCTCAATGCAGGAGCTGCCCAAGTGGTCAGGGCTCTCCCACAGGGGGAGCACTGCTCAGCCAGAAGCTGAGCTCAGGGCCGGCAAGCACAGCTCCCACATTCACAGCAGCGTTAAGGATGTTCAACTGCCGCCTTAGGCCTGCTCCCCACAGGTTAAACCATGTGGAAATGAGAGCTGAAGAAGGAGTCAAGGTGGAAGAGGCAGCGAGGCCAGGTTTCAGGGAGAGGGGAGTGGTATAGAGAAGGTAAGGCAGGATGTCACCCAAGACCCTCAGCCCCTCCTGCCACAAAGTCCTGACTCTGCAGACACAATTCTTCAATAATGCCTATCAAAAGTGGGCCTTCAAAAGCAAATGATGAATGAATGAACAAATGAATAAAAAGAAACATATAGTTTATTATTGTACTAGAGGCTCATTGCACAATATTTGAGCTTCATTCCTAGTCGCCCTGGAGCCAGCAAGTCCCCACTCCCCACCCCAGCTGTCTGGGAATTGGCAAGTCCCAGCTCCTGAACCGCCTGGAGCCAGAAAGTCCTCGCTTCTGTCTGGAGTATCACTCCAGTAGCTCCTTCCGCCCGCCACCCCCCTTCCCCTTTTAGCAGGCTTCACACCTGGCCTGCATATGCAAATTAACCTCCATCTTTGTTGGATTAATTTGCATGCTTACTCTGATTGGCTGTGGGCATAGCGAAGGTACGGTCAATTAACATTTTTCTCTTTTATTAGTGTAGATTGGAAGTACAGAAACAGAATCAAACCCTTCTCAGACCTCGATAGTCCCAGGTCTCTGTAAGTCACCCCACATTTACCAAATATGTGAGTCTCCTCAGGTCTGGACAGTCATGGGATAGGAGGGGGCCCTGGGCCCAGTCTATGGGGATGGAGGCTCAAGAGCCACTGCCATCAAGGGTCTATGTTCAGCTGTGTACAGGCCCACAGATCTGAGTCTCTGGAATTCCTGGGTGGGGTCATGCATGCAAGGCCCCCTTGCCGCCGAGCTAGGTCTTGGAGTGCAGAGAGACGAGCCCTGGTCCCAGGCTGTGCAGGCAGAGAACTTGCTGGTGTCATCAGGACACTGAGGGTGTCTTGATCTCTAGGTATGGCAGGACCAGGATCGAGGTGTCACCAGCCCCCAGAAAGTTGTCTGTGCCAGAGAAAGGTGAGTTGTGAATAAGGTCCCTCCCAGTACACCCAAGACATGGGAGCTCATCACCCCCAAATCAGGCCTTGGCCCCTGATCATAGCTGTTGAATTGGGCAAAAATTGGGGGTTAGCTATTGGGAAGGAGAGGCACGTACTCCTGAATGGGGAGTTAGGTATCATGGTTCCTTACCTGGGCCAGAGGGCAGTGCCGCCGTGCATACCACTCCTGGCAGTACAGGCTGACCTGGATGCCCTGCCCCAGAAACAGCATGGTCCACATTAGCACATTCCACGCTGGGCCCGTGTGCCGGTCATGCATCATGAAGTTCATCGGTCCTGAGGCGGGAGAAAAGATGGTCACCCCAGCTCCAGATACCTGTGCCTTGTGTCCCTGGCTGCTCTCCCAGCCCAGGGCACTGGGAAGAGATGGAACAGGAACATCCCATTGGAAAAGATCTTGAACCCAGCTCCAGAAAAACCCATGGAGGTCTCAAGTGGCTCATGTAAAACCAGGATTCCTCTCTTTACCCTTCAATATCCTGGATCTCAACCACAACAAAAATGATCCTGGCTCTCATACTGAACCTCCTAACCTCCACCAGTTTTCTCCCCTTTGTCTCCCTCTATGTGTGTCCTGCTCAGATGCTCCTCTCCAGTCAGACATCTTCTTTCTCATTCCCCAGGATGCCCCCTTGCTGACATCAGATGCTGCCTTCATCCCTGCTCCCAAGACTCTCCTCATTCCAACTCTCACACACAACTCTCAGGCCTCCTCCCAGAGGGTACGCGTGTCCCCTTCTGTCTTGGGTCCATGGCCTTCCCCATCAGTCTGGACTCTCCAGGAGCCGGAGCACGAGCCTCCCTCCTCCGGATGAATTCCCCTCCAGTGGCACACAGAAGCAAGCTCACCTCCAATGACCAGGAACAGTATCATCATGACAGGGTAGAAGAAGCCCAGGACAAAGCAGAAGATATACTCATGGACGACTGAAGAGACCAGGAACACGCCCAGCATGGCTGCCCGTCGGGCCTGGCCACCAAGGAGCTGGCAGGGATAGGGGGAGGAATATGGAGTGATTCTCCTTAGGATCTCTTCACAAAGTGCACGCCCCCCACCCCCGTTTAAGAAAGCCAGGAGGGTATATGGTGCAATGGAAAGAATATAGGATTTGGGGTCATAAGGCATTTTATTAACCCATTTGGGCCTTAGATTCGATTTTTGAAAGGGGGTGATATAATACTTCTCAGGGTTATTGTGCAGATTAAATGTATGTAACAGCTCTTGGTAACTGAAAATTGATATATGCATGTTCCTTAGGTGGGAGGAAAGGCCCTGTGGAGGGGGTGGAATTAAGGACAAGGAAGGAAGGAAGGAAGGAAGGAAGGAAGGAAGGAAGGAAGGAAGGAAGGAAGGAAGGAAGGAAGGAAGGAAAAGAAGGAAGAAAGGAAGGAAAGAAGTTAGATCCCATGATGAAATTTCTGCCCATTGGATTGGGTAGAATGGGGCAAATGGGTGTCAAAAGATCCTTAGGTTGGATGGTGCAGAGGGAGGAAAAGGAGGATGGTCCAGAGAGGATCCATGAAGTTGGGGGCTGAAGGGTTCTGCAGAGCCCATACCCACAGCCCATCTTGGTACACATAGCTGTACAGCCAGTCATGGACCACCACGTTCCAAGTGCGGTAGTAGTTGGAGAAGGACGTGGAGTTCCACCAGTCCTGGGGTAGGGGAGGGATCAGAGTGGGAGAAGGAGGTAAGCATCAGGGCCCTGTTACTTCCCAGGCCCCAGCTTCTCACTCCTCCCTTGTCTCCCATCTCAATGCCCTTCCACAAGAGCTGACCCCCGGCCAAACAGAGACAGCAGCACTCTCCCTGCTGCCTCATCAGGACCTGGGGCCCTGCCCTCCCTGGCACTCTCCCTGTTTCTGGAACTCCTCTCCACCCACACAAGAGCAGTTAGCCCTGGCTAGTTGGGAGGTGGAAGGGTGGCATTTCACCACACCCAGAAGGGCACATTTCTCATTGTGGGAGATTGCAGCTGAGGTGACACCCAACATTGCTACCATCCTCCCCAGATCTCTCCCTTTCGCTCCCTGGCCCTAACTCCCAAGTGGTCCAGGTCCAGGCCACACCCGGTAGAACATCCTGTCTCCAAATCGTAGCATCTCCGCGAAGGCGTTGAGCCAGCAGTGGAGGAAGGCGAAGAAGATGAGCAGCAGCATGAAGATGCCTGGGGAGTGGGGACAAGGGGCTGCAGGTTAGACTGGCCCAGCTGGGACCCCAGGAAGACCTGAGGAGCCCTTGCACAGCAACTAGGGCCTCAATCCCACCCATCATTTATTAGTCATTTATTAATTCAGGCATTTATTAATTCATCCATTTGCTCATCCATATCAGAGATTGGGATATGAGGTGATTCTGAAAACCCCTGGCCATTGAGAGTGATGGGGGAGGGGGGGGGAGAGAGAGAGAGAGAGAGAGAAAGAGAGAGAGAGAGAGAGAGAGAGAAGGAGGAGGAGAAGGAAGAGGAGGGGGAGGGGGAGAAAGAGGAGAAAGGGAAGGGGGAGGGGGAGAAGGAGAAGGAGAAGGAGAAGAAGAAGGAGAAGGAGAAGGGGAAGGGGAAGGAGAAGGGGAAGGGGAAGGGGAAGGGAAAGGGAAAGGGAAAGGGGAAGGGGAAAGGCGAAGGTAGACAGAGGGACATGTCCAATCACACATCAAGGTCAAATGTATCGGGAGTAAGCATGGTGGCTATCGATGTGCTTTGGAGTGCAAAGCACAGGGAAAATCATGGTAATTGATGATTAAAAAGGGGAAGGCCTCTCACATGGGCCTCCAAGAAGGAACTGGATTTCACAACTGGAAAGTAGTGAAAGGGCACTCCAAGCTGAGAGACAGTATAAGCCAAGGCCTGGAGGCATGAAAGTAAATGGCCGGGGTTATGGTGGAATGCCATGCACAGGAAGGGCCTTGAATGCCAGGCAAAAGTTCAACTCTTATCTGGAGATCCCAGCCACGGGGAGTCAGTCACTGGAGCTTTTGAAGCAGGATCAGAAATGATTATTCCGTAGGACGGAAATCATCTGGGCAGGAATGTCCTCAGGGGCAGAGGGGAGAGGAAAGGATCAGGTGGGAGGAACACAGGTTGGGAGACTGATGTGGAAAGGGGGAGTAGATGGTAATCTGAATGGAGACCCTGACAATGAAGAGTGGTGGGAGGGGACGGAAGCGAAGGGAGACTCAGAAGGAGGTCTTGAAACTGACAGAAGGTAAAGAGCAAGGGGAGTGAGCAGTTCCTGGCTAAGCTTTCCTAGGACGCAGCCTCCTCCAGTCCCGCGTCAGGGGGCATACCTGGCAATGTGGCGTGCATGACCGAGAGCACCAGGGCGCGGGTGCTGAAGGGCTCCCGGCTCATGTTGGCAAAGACGGGAACACAGAGGCGGCCCATGATGAAACAGGCATAGAGGACGCAGCCCAGGGCCTGCAGAGGGGGTGGTGGGCACCTAAATTTGAGGAGGGGGGCACTGGTAGCTGCCCCCTCACTCTGGAATTAGGCTCTGGCCCAGCATCTTCCTTCTCTTCCCTCTGACCTCCTCCCCAGGTCTTCTCCACCCCACCCCCAGAAATATCCCCTCAGCTACCACGAGTCACAGGCAGTCCACCTTCTACCCCATCTTCTGACCTGAGCAAAGTTCTTGGCCACATAATTCCACCTGATGTTGGGTGTCCTGCAGCAGCAATGAGGGTTATATGTTTCTTGTTCTCTGGTCAGACCGGAACCCTGGTTCTGGTGCCCTCTCTCCATAGCCCCTCAATGGCTCAGGGGGTTGGGGCACTAGAACAGTTTGCATCTTCCATAGCAGAGATGGCAAATGGATTTTTAGCCTGCCTGTCAACTGAGGTGACCAACCATCTGGAGTTTGCTGTGGACTGAGAGACTTCCCGGGACCTAGGATTTTCAGTGCTAAAACAGGGACAATCCTGGGCAAACCAGGACAGTTGATCACCCTTGTGCCACCATGGGCTGGGCGAGGAAAAGGGGTAGTCTACCTGCCACTTCTTTCTCATCTCTGTGATGGGGCAGTTTCCTGAAGAAGTGTCTGGGGTGAGGCCAGGGACTTCAGGGAGAGGGGAGGAGGAAGGCAAGGTCCCTCATGGCGTAGGCATTTGGGGAAGGGTGCAGGTCTTACCTGGGGTAAGTCTCCCTGTAGATAAGTGTGGGGCAGAAGAGGAAATAGAGGTAGCTGGAGAAACTGGGGGCCCGGACCCCCTCACCTGGGGAGGAGTGAGAAGGGTTCATCAGTAAAGGGGAAAGGGAGAGAGGGCGGAAGTGTGGGAGGGTGGGGCTAGGGTACGGAGAGCTGGCTAGGACAGAGGCGCAGGGGCTGAGTGAGGGGCTGGACATTGGGTCTAAGGTGGGTGGGGGAGGTGAAGCTGGGCAGGAACTGAACCCCTTTTACTTCCATTCCAGGCACCCCATTTTCTGGCGCAGGACCTGCTCTGGCTGAAGCTTTATTTGGCACCAAGAAGTTCCACTCTCCGTTCTCCCTCTCTCTCCAGGCTGGGCCTGGGAATGGGAGAGCACCGGACGTCCTGGGCCACAGAGGGGCCGTCTCTCAGAGTGGGGCCTGAGAATGCTGAATGTCTAAGGCCCAGAGCCCAGCTGGAGGGCAGAGTTGTGCCCAGGGCAAGGTGGGCTTAGGAAGTCCGAGCTTTTATGAGGGTCCTGCCACTGTTGGCTTTATCCAGTCAGCCAAGAGGACGGCGCTCACAGCAGCGCCAGCCGAAGGCCTCACCTCCTTTGGTACGAAGGATCCCAGGCACAGCCTCTCTCAGGAAGGAGTAGCTTTTCATCAGAAATCTGACCTGAGATGGAGTGGAAGGGAGGTTAAATTGGTGCGTGGCTTTCAGTGTAACACAATCTCTGTGTCCTCTCCTTTGAGGGAGGGAAGGAGGGAAAGAGGGAAGAAGGAAAGGGGGGATGGAGGGAGGGAGGAAGAGAGGGAGGGAGAGAGAGAGAGAGAGAGAGAGAGAGAGAGAGAGAGAGAGAGAGAGAGAAGCAGGCACTTGGTAAAATGTGTGTGTTCAGAGCACATACTTTATCTTTTTTCGGATTACCTTATTGCTGGGATGACTCAAGGGTAAAGGAGCACAGAAAAGGCAAAGGCAGACTTTCACTGATCAACCCCAGTAACTCACTGAGGAGTTAGACTATAGTTGTTTAGTGAAGTCCATTCATTTACATTTCTTTGGAGCCTGCGGTAGGTTAGGTACGCTCAAGTCCCTTAGGACTGCCAAAACCAGTTTGGCTCAGTGGATAGAGCGACAGCTTGCAGACTAAAGGGTCCTGGGTTCAATTCCGGTCAAGAGCATGTACCTTGGTTGCAGGCACATCCCCAGAGTGTGTGTGTGTGTGGGTGTGGGCAGGAGGCAGCTGATTAATGTTTCTGTTTCGTTGATGTTTCTAACTTTCTATCCCTCTCCCTTCCTCTCTGTAAAAAGTCAATGGAATATATTTTTTTTTAAAAATCCCTCGGGACAAACTCCGCCCCTAGTAACCAGCTCCACCCCACTGTTAAGAGTAGTGTTTACCCTCATCCGGCCTCCACCGCCTTTTAGGGCTCCCCCTCTTCCCTCCCTCCCGCCTCATCACCTGCTCAAAGACCAGGACACAGCTGGAGGCTGGCGGGAGCTGATACTTCACAGCCACGTGGACCGGGAGTATGCCGAGCACTGCGGTGTGAGCGGCCAGCAGCACGCAGCCCAGGCCCGCCCCCAGCGCCCAGGCCCCGCTAGCCTGGGGCCTCGCCCACAGCCAGAGGGCCTGGTAGGGCACCAGCAGAGTGGACAGGAACATGGGGGCCCATGTCATCAGAGCCAAGGGCAGCTGTCCGAAGCTGAAGATCAATAGGTCGAACTCCAGCATCAGCCTTGGAGTGGGGAAGGAGAGACAAATAGACAGATGTGCAGCCCATTCTTTCCCCCTCCTCAGCAGCCAGAGCTCTAGGAAGGTGAACTGAGGCATCTTGCAAAGCTTGTGAGCTCCTCATCTCTGAAAGGGTTCAGGAGGGCACCTCTGTTGCCTAGGACTTCTCGTGCAGGGCGCTGCCTGAGGAGGCCGTTGGAAAGTGAGTTTGCTTCCAAATTGCTGTTAGAGCTGCGGTGGATATTAGATGTTGCAGAAGGGCTGGTACTTTGCATGCTCAGTAGGACAGGAGGCATTTAGTGTTTGGCTTTGTTTCGCTCTTTGGAGTGCAGGTTGTTGAGTGTTTTGTTTGCTTAGACTGAGTATACAGTTTTAACGATGACAAGTTGAAATAACCTACGTGTCCATTAGGAAAGGACTAAATGAACAAAGCCAGGTGTCTTCAGACTCCGTAACCATTCAAAACAATGGATTGACATGGAAAGATCTCTAAACCAGGTTGTTAGGGAGTGAAATCAAAACAATAGATATAGCCGAAACCAGTTTGGCTCAGTGCATAGAGTGTCGGCCTGTGGACTGAAGGGTCCCAGGTTCGATTCCAGTCAAGGGCATGTAGCTTAGTTGCGGGCACATCCCCTTTGGGGGGTGTGCAAGAGGCAGCTGATCGATGATTCTCTCTCATTGATGTTTCTAACTCTCTATTTCTCTCTCTTCCTCTCTGTAAAAAATCAATAAAATATATATATTTTTAAAAACAATAGATATAATGTCTTATTTATGTAAATGTCTACGAAATACATCTCTTTGGTTCTTATACACATACTAGAGGCCTAGTGCATGAAATTCATGCACAGGAGGGGGGGTTTCCCCTCAGCCCAGCCTGCACCCTTTCCAATCTGGGGGATGTCCGACTGCTCCTGGGGATTGGGCCTTAAACAGGCAGTTGGACATCCCTCTCACAATCCTGGACCACTGGCTCCTAATTGCTCACCTGCCTGCCTGCCTGGTCATCCCTAACTGCCCGCTTCCTGCTGGCCTGATTGCCTCTAACTGCCCCCCCCTGCCAATCTGGTTGCCCCATGCAGCCTGCTTGTTCAGTCATTTAGTCATCCCTCACTAACGCCCCTACCAGCCTGGTCTCAGGTAGACATCTTGTGAGGGTGTGAAGGTTAATTTGCATATTACCTCTTTATTATATAGAATGGGTGGAAACCATTCTGGAGGGAAACTCTCAAAACTTCTGGGAAGCGGTCTGGGATTGAGGGGAGGAGGGTTGTCAAGAAGGACTGTAACTTTACAAGTATTTGAATATTTTACTGAGATTTGATACTTACAATATTCATATTTAGCAACAATTTACCAAAAGGAAGTGCTGTTGCTGAAATTGCAGATCCTTAGCCCTTTTCCTTTTATTGCTTCCTAAGCCCTACTTAGTGGGGAATAGGGGGGAGCCTGCAAATACAGACCCCAGGGGTATACAGTCTTCTGAAGCTCATCCCCCAGAGTGTGTGGGGGTGGTCTCTGGGGGAAACAACCCACCAAGGCACTTGTGTGGCTGTCTGTCTTCCCACAAGGTTGGGGTGCCTTATAGACAGGGATGGGGTCTGCCCCTCATCTCCCTGGCTCCCATGGCCGGTCCTTAGAAGATGCTCACAAGAGGTTACTTGAACTGAACAACTCTGACTTGGAAAGAGAGGGGAGGGGAAGTGTGTATGTGTGCACACACATATATGTACTTGTCTGCCTCAAGACAAGGCTCCATTGAGAAGTATATGAGTGGCTGATCCTGGGAGTACAGACAGAGGGCCATCCAAGGCTGTGGAAGGAAGATGCTCAGAGTGTGTTTTAGGTGGGAATATTGTTGGAAGCAACACTGATGCGTGTGCCATATCAAAGGCGAACCTGTGCACTCTCAGGCCAATAGTTGGTGGAACCCGGGGGACCCACGGGGTCTGATCTGATCTGTGTGCCTATCCCGGGAGGAGAGGGGCCTACCTGCCCTCGTCAATGAGGTCGATGGCCACGGTGCTGATAATGAAGACACACAGGCCTGCGATGAACATGTGGTAGATGGTCCGGAAGTGCTGCACCTCCATCAGCTCACTGGAGAGAGAGGACCCCGAATGTCAGTGCGGAAGGGTCCTCTAGGTCATGTGGACTGGCTCAGGCCCTGGGCACATGTGAGGATGGAGCCTACTGATTGGAAATGCTAAGGTCTAGGATGTGACTGGGACAAGTGCCCAAAGCCTTTTCCTGCCCAGACACCACCTGTCCTGGCGGCTTTTCTTCCACAGTTACACACAGGGCACATGGGGAAATTGAACCTTGAAAACCTTTCCAGGTCCTTTCCCAAATCATCAAGAGCCTGGGGGTGAGAACTGAGGTATCCTGGACCCTTAACCAAAGCACCCTCCCCACCCCCCATCCCATCTTCTCCCTTAACTTACTCCAGCAGGGACTTGCGATTGATGAAAACTTTTCCTTTCTTCAGGGATGGCTTCTGGATACTGAATTGAGAGAGTTGTTCTGGGTCAGGACCCAAAGGAAGAAGGCAGATCAATGCTTGGGAGCCAAAAGTAATAGTAGCAGATGGTCAAAGCTGGGGCCAGAGGCCAGGATCAGGAGAAGGTCAGGGCCAGGGCAGAGCACGGCTAGCGGTGGAGGTCAGAGCCAGGAAGGCAGAGGCAATAGGAGGAGAAGGGGGAAGTTGGCGTGAGGGTCACACCAGCACTGGCAAAGGGCGCATGAGGTGATGTTTATGGCTTGTAATCTCACAGTGGCAGAGCCTGCTCCAGCCATTCATCAGCCCTGGCTCCTCAGACTCTTACTTGTTCGGGGAATCTGGAGGAATAGTGGGCAGAGGTCTGCCTTGTGGTGGGTAGGATTGCACGGCCTCGGACATGGCGCGATCCAGCAACTCCTGCAGCTGGCTCTGTGCTTGCTCCAGCAGCTGCGCCTTCACAGCCTATGGACAAAGCCAGGCCCACTGTCCCTCCAACCAGTTTGCCATCCTCTCATTCACTCAGCATTTCCTGAGCTCTCTATGCACACAAGTGCTAGGGAGAGACAACATGGTTCCCGCCCACAAGTTCCTCAATTTCTCTCCCTCAGGCTTCCCAGGGCCACAGTGACGATCAAGGGGAAACAGCAATAGGGACATTTCCAGTCCCAACCGCCTTGTCATCTCGGACTTGACTCTCTTCTCCCTGACCCCAGTCTTCCCTCTCCTGATCTCTAGGCCCACAAACAGACTGACTGACTGTCTGACTTTTGGCTCCTGCCCTATGACCTGTGTTTCAAACCCCTTCATCTTAATCCTTAGCTCTGACCTCACCTGAGGGGTTTGAACCCAAGAACAAATTGTCTTTATCACCAAACTGGTCCTCTCCCCTACTGCCTTATCGCTCATCTTGACCTCTGACCTCTGAGGTCCCTCACCTCCATATGTTGAGTCCATTGCACCAAGTCAGGGCCTCCAAGCACCTCAGCATTTCCTAAAAGGAGGGGTCAAAGGGCACACCCAAAGGGGAGGAGTTAGGGTTCTGCTGCCTGGTGTGAGCCCAGAGGCATCCTCCGCCAGGAAGTGCTTTCTGTGTGCTCAGCTTCCTCCCAGCCCTGCAAGCAGATTTCTAGAATCATGGGTGGGGCAGTCAGAAGAGGAAGTTATTTTGTCCAGGGGTGAGGAGGCCCTTGGTAAGCCAGGAGCCTGATGACAGCACCGGGTACTCGGGGAACAGGAAGCCTCTCTGTTTACCCTCTGAGGTTAGAGAGTCAGAAAGACGAGACAAGGCCACAGCCCTTAAGGGCCCTTCTCTGTTCCAGTCTCCCAGCTGAGTGGTTAGGGACAGAGGCCAGAGTCTGTCTCCCCGGGACCACAGGAGGGGGTTCAGGGAGAGAGGAGGAACCCCCTCTCACCAGGGTAACCTCCCCTCCACCCCCACCTGAGCTGCCTGCACTCCCAGAGCGTGGCTCACCTCCGCCGGCCGGCCGGTCCTCCTGCTCTCTTCTCGACCCTGCCCTCCTCCGAGAGCGGGCCGCCCTGGGCTCCATAAGGTCAGTCTTGATTGGGCAGCTGGTGGCCTCTGCCATGTTCCTTCCTTCCCTTCACAGCCCGCCAACCCGCGAAGCTCCCATCTCTCAGCTCGGTGGCGACAGCTCCAAAGACTGAAGTCCTCTCAGGAGGAGGGGGCCTCCAGGAGCACGACAGGTTATCTGATCCGGAGGGCAGTGCTTCCCAGCTACAGGCTCTGCAGGCTGTCGCGGGGATGGGCTGGATGCAACCCCGCAACAGCCAACCACCCCCCAGATGCCCAGCTCTGAGCAAGTGCGCTCTCCCTCCCACAGGAGTAGTGACTAAGCATGTGGTGAGAAGGGGGACTTTGCCTCTCTGGGGCTTATCACCTAGCATGGCTCACCTTCCAGCTGGCTGAAGGTCGGGGCGGAGTCAGAAACTCTTCAGTTATAGGTACACTCAGCTCCCTTAGACCGTGAGATAAGGTGTATGAAAGGACCTTGTCAACGTGAAAGCATTGTATGCAGGTGATTAACGTGCCGATGGGGTAGACACCTGTGACGATTGTGGAGCTGTGGCCCCTCTAGGAAGTGCTAAGTGCCAGTGTCCCTGAATGTCAGCACGTCCCTATACCTGCTTGGGTTAGCAGGTAGGTAAAATAGACACTTACTAGCGCCTGAGGAATGCCAGGCATTGTCACATGTAGAAGAACTAGATTTAAATCCTCCCTTTAGCCGAAACCAGTTTGGCTCAGTGGTAGTCGGTCTGCAGACTAAAAGGTCCCAGGTTAGATTCCGATCAGGGGCATGTACGTTGTTTGCGGGCACATCCCTGATGGGGGTGTGCAGGAGGCGGCTGATCGATGTTTCTCTCTCATCGACGTTTCTGGCTCTCTCTCTCTCTCCCTTCCTCTCTGTAAAAAATCAATAAAATATATTTTAAATCCTCCCTTTATCATTTCCTGGCTGTGTCATTTCAGGCTAAGTGACCCAAATTTCTTAAGTCACAGTTTCTTCCTCTGGAAAAACAGGGGCAAAGTCCCTTCCTCACAAAATTGCTATAAGCATAAAAACAGGTAATCCAGGTAGAAGCACAGGATCCAGGGCCCAGCTCTTGAGGGGAGCCCAATAAATAATAATCTCATTTCCTGTTTAGTAGGATGTAAACAGAGGGTAAGTGCTTTGAGAGTTCCTTTTTGTTAGTTTCCTGCTGGGGATTAACTATTAATTTTTCCTCTCCCCTGTGTCCAAAGATCACAACTTCATACCAAGGCCCCGGGCTCAGTTTCTCCCCACCTCTGTCTCCGCCCCCTAACCCCCTGGTGGGTGGTTGGGTGAGGCTTTGGGGCTTGAAGCCTCTGCCAGTGGCTGCCTCCTTCATTCTAAGAGCAGCGGGAAGGACCCAAGCTATTGGAGGGCTGTAAAGGGGAGTGGGGGAGGGGAGAGAAGGCTCAGGAGCTCCAGACATGTGAGCGGTGGACCCAGAAACATAGACCAGAGACCCCCAAAACAGCTTTATTAACGCTCCAAACCAACACCAACAATTTTTCCATGTGTGATGTCTCAGGGATAAGGGGACAATGGGGCAGGGCCTAGAGGGGGAGTGTGGGACCGAGTTACTCATGATGACAAATGGCCCAGGATGACAGCCCCAGGCTCCTGCCGGTGGCCCTGCGGGACCCCACCCAGCCTTAGCCACTGCTTCCTGCGGAGCAGGGGGAGCCGCCATTGCTGTCCCCGGATGCTGGCAGGGGCTGGCCCATCCGGTCCACACACCAGCAGGGCCCTCGGCGCTGGCCCTGGGAGGAGCGGCACTGGGGAGAGAGGCATACAGATCAGAGGTGAGGCCAGGCTCCAGCAGGAGAGGTGGGAGGGGTCCCTGTGGGTTGGGGATGGGCTATGGACTCCTGAGTCTGAGTATGCAGGAACGGCTAAGAGTTCTCAGGATGCGAGTCCTGCTGGGTTCCCTTCCCTCGCTTCTCTTCTCCACCCACAAAACCGTGCCTGTTCTTCTAGGCCAGAACAGTGGTTCTCAAAGTGTGGCTCCCAAACCAACAGCATCAGCATGACTAGGGGATGGGAGTTAGAGATGCAGATTCTCAGGCTCTGCTGGTGGGTGGGGCTCAGCCACCTATGTAGTCACAGCCCTCTGGGTGACCCTGTAGCACCTCACATTTGTGTGCCTCTGAGTGAGGCCCTCCGTGGGCAGTCTAACTCCTCTGCTATGTGTGTGGTTGGTTCTTCTGTTTGTGTGGGCTCTGAAGTTGCGAGATCCTTAAAGGCAGGGACAGTGTCTTACTTAGGCAACTGCATAAGCCCCCTCACACCCCTGGACGGAGCCTTGTACCGATGGACCCAGCGGGAGAGCGGAGTGGCCTCACCTGCCGCTTCCGGTAGAAGCCCCGGTGGTCACAGTTAGGCACGTAGAGAGTGTGAGACCCCCGGAAGATTTCCATCTGGAGTTGCCGTAGCACTGAGTCCAGATGTTTGCGGCACGGGCCCTGGGAGAAGGGGGAGCAAGCAGCTTGGGACCAGCTGAGAGCTCCACGGCACAGTCCCTGGGCCCCACCAGCCAGGCTCCCAGGGCTAACGTGGGAGACCTCTCTGAGCCCCAGGACGCAGTCTAACGTGGCTCCCCACCCCTCCTGCTCCCTGCCAGCCCCAAACGCACCATCTCAGAGTCTTGGACACCCCCAGGATTGGGCCTGGCCGGAGTGGTAGAGGTCCCCGGGTTCCTTTGTTGGTTTCTACGGCTCGGGTCCTGTTGGCGAGTGGTCCCCGAGTGGGGCTTGCTCTCCTTAGGATTCTCCCCTGCAGCAAAAAAAAAAAAAGAGGGGGGAAGAAAAGGCCAGAAATCAGCCAGATGTCAAAGACTGGCACCAGCCGAAACCGGCTTGGCTCAGTGGATAGAGTGTCGGCCTTTGGACTGAAAGGTCCCGGGTTCGATTCCCGTCAACGGCATGTAACTTGGTTGTGGGTACATCCCCAGTAGGGGGTGTGCAGGAGGCAGCTGATCAATGATTCTCTCTCATCGATGTTTCTGACTCTCTGTCCCTCTCTTTCTCTCTGTAAAAAAATCAATAAAATATTTTTAAAAATTATTTCTAAAAAAACACAGAAAGACTGGCGCCATGTGTGGGGAAAAGTGAGGGAGGGGCTTTTGGATCAGGAGAGGTGAAGGGGGGTTAGAATCTGGCTCCACCCTGACCTTCTCCCGCCTCAGCTTCTTCCCCTGGCAAATGGTATTATTATATTTCCTGACCAGGCTTAGGAGGGAGGAACACTTTGGAAAGCAAAAATTGTGAACAAATACAATAGTTGCCCTTATCTGTGGTTTCACTTTCTGTGGTTTGCGTTACCTGCAGTCAACCACAGTCTGAAAATATTAAATAAAAAATCCCAGAAATAAACAATTCATAAGTTTTAAATTATGAACAGTGTGATGACATTTCTCGCCCTCTTGCTCCTTCCTGCCCGGGACGTGAATCAGCCAATTGTTCAGTGTCTCTATGCTGTCTATGCTCCCAATCGTTAGTCACTGATTAGCCATTTCTGTTATCAGATCAACAGTCATGGTATGTCAGCCCTTATGTTCAAAACCCTTATTTTACTTATTTAATGGCCCCAAAGTGCAAGAGTAGTGATGCTGGCAACTCAGATATGCCAAAGGAGCCAAAAAACGCCGCCTTGAAGTGAAAAGATGAAAGTTCTCAACTGAAAAAGAGAATAAAAATCATAGGCTGGCCCGCCTACGGGAGCTCTGTGGGTAAGTGTCAACCTATGAACCAGGAGGTCACGGTTAGATTCCAGGTCAGGGCACATGCCTGGGTTTCAGCTCAATCCCCAGCAGGGGGCGTGCAGGAGGCAGCTGATGACCGATTTTTTTCTCATCGTTGATGTTTCTCTTTCTCCCCCTCCCTTCCACTCTGAAATCAATAGAAAAATATTTTTTAGAATCGTATATCGAGGTTGCTAAGATCTACAATAAAACAAATTTCTTCCCATGAAATTGTGCAGAAGGAATAAGAAATCCATGCTAGCCTGGCCAGTGTGGTGCAGTTGGTTGAGTATCATCCCACGCACCAAGAAGTTAGGGCACATGCCTGACTTGTGTGCTCAATCCCCAGTAGAGAGCATGCAGGAGGCAGCCAATGGATATTTCTCTCTCATCAATGTTTCTATCTTTCTCCCTCTCATTTCCTTTCTCTCAAAAAAAAATCAATGAAAACACATTTTGCAAAAACACACAGAGAAAATCATGCTAGTTTTGCTGTCACACCTCAAACTAGAGAAGTTATGACCACAGTAAGTGCTTAGTTAAGAGGGAGAAGACATTAAATTTGTCTGTAAAAGACAGGAACAGAAAACGTGTTCCAACTGACGGCAACGTGTTGTGACAAATAACAGCGAGCCTATACGAAGACTTAAGTAAGGGGTCCCCTGAAACGAGGGACAGCAAGACATTTATTGCAAATAAGAGATGGTTACACAGATTCAGGAATAGTTTTGGACTGAAAAAATATTAAAAATGACTGGAGAGGCTGCACCTGCTGGTATAGATCTGCTGCCACGTTTCTGGCAAAGAAGGTGTTGGTTAGGGTTTGGTATTAACCTCGGTTTCAGTCACCCACTGGGGGTCTTGGAACGGATGCTCCATTGGATAAGGGGGACTACTGCATATTGAAAGGCTTCGGGCTTGGGGTGAAAGATCTGGCTGTTCCATCAGAGGCCAGCAGGGGGTGCACTAAACCAGGGAGATGGAGCAGAAAAGCAATGGATGTGGAAGAGGTCAGCAGCAACCAAGTGGAATGTGCGTCCCTGCTGTGACCCTACTGTGACCCAGCCCACCTCTTCCAAGCTGTGATGTGGTTACTTTTGGGACAGTAGGGGCCTCACCCATCTGGTCCCCTGCTGCTCAGCCCAGCTCAACCCTAGGGTCCCAGGAACACGTGAGGTTCGTCAACCTAGACCGGCAGAGGGCAGGTTGCAAAAATGCGGGAATGAGGGGCTCCCAACAGGCGGTCACTTCTGGCTCTGGGGGGTCTGGGGTGAGCTCACAGGACGGAACAAGATGAAGAAATAAGTCAGGGCATCAGGACGAAGGGAAGGCAGGAAGGGGAGCAGGAATTGCTTGGACTCCACCCAGCTGAAAAATTATTATGACCCCTGAAGAGACTACTCTCTCCGTGCCCAAAGCAAGCTCTGCTTAAGTGCCAGCCCCCAAGCATAGAGAGAGCCCTCATCTGCTTCACTTACAACTGGAGTCACTCCATCTGCAGTCCCGAACCTGACACCCCTTCCTCCACACTCGACCCTCATTTCCTCCATCTAACACCCCCTTGTGACTTGCTCTTACTGCCTCCTCTGACCCATCCGTTTTAGGAGGACCTCTAGCAGCCTGCACGCATGCATCTGGGATTGAAAGCAGCTCCCCGTTAATTTCCCAGACCTTCCCATGGAAGAAACCAGGAACGAAGGTGCCCCTGGGCGTATTTCCTGCCCTCCCCATTTCCCCGTTTCCCTACTGCCCCCTCACCCCTCTTCTTTCAGGTTCTGACTCACTTCTGTCCTGCCCACCCACTAAACCCTCTATTCTCCACTCTGGAGTAGGGTGGGGTGGCAGCTTTAAATCATAACCCTGATTTGATAGCTTCCTTTTTTCCCCCACCTCCAATCCCCACCACCATGACTCCAACACCTACTCCCGGACCCCGTGATGGTCTAAAACAATTCTGGATGGAGGTCATCTTCTGCTCTCAGCCTCATGTTCAGGGGCTTTGGACACCCCGACATGAAAAGGAGAGGGGGAGACATTTCTCAGCGTGCGCAGGATTTGGGAGAATGGCGTTCCATTCTCTCCTTTTTCCAAGTGGAAAGCTGAGAACACCTGGGTCCCTTCTCCAACTTGGGGGCCTAGGACTGAAGGAGCTGGGCCCTAAACCCCTCCACCTCTCCATCTCTTTCCCTTCAAGAGAAAGTGATAAAAGGGTCAAAAAATATTAAAAAAAAAAATAGTTGAGAGCTCAGACACCTCCCGGCCCTAGCTGCGCCCCAGCTTTCCAGCTGCCTCCCGCACTCACCCCTTTGCCCCTCTAACGTGCCCCCAAGGTTGGGGTGTGGGGGAGAGAAGCGTCAGTGGCAGGACCCAGAGGCTTGCAGCGCTGCCTGCGCCCACCTCCCCAGGACCCTCCTGCGGAGAAGCGGGTCTCCGTGGGCGGGGCGGGCGCCGACTCACCCGTGGGCGCGCGCGCAGGGCGGCAGCGGCCCCGGCCGGTCAGCAGCGCCCGCAGCGGGGCCGGGTCTCCCTCCGGCGGCTGGCACTGCAGTCCGGGGGCGCAGTTGGGGGTGTAGACCCCGCACTGCTGCCCCTCCCTCCGGAGGCAGCCCCCGGCCTCCGCACATGCCTCCGCGGGCCGCCCCGCGCCCTCCTCCGCAGCGCAGCCCCCGGGGCAGCCCGCTGGCGCCCCCTGCCCGCAGCCCGGGCACCGGGCCAGGGCGCCTGACGGGCGGGCGGCGAGCAGCAGCGTCAGCAGCAGCGGCGGCAGCAGCCTGCGCGGGGTCATGGTCGGGATGCTGGCCCCGTGCTCTCCTCCCAGAGCCGTCGTGGCGCAGCTGCTGCCTGCGGCCGTCCCTCCGTCTTAAATAGCCGAGGGTCAGGGGCCGGGCCGTTTAAGGGCCAGGTGAAGGGGGGCAAAGGGGGGAGGAGGCAGAGGCTTTCCCTAAACTGGGTGGGACTGGAGAGGCTCCCCCGCCCCACCTGGTCCTCCCCGCTCTTCTCCCCGGCGCCCTTCCCAACTTCTGTTTACTCCCCCAATTGCTCTGGGCTTCGTGCTTTGTTCCCGGGAATCTGGCCCAGAATATGCAAGAGGGACTGTTGGCTCGGGGGACCGGGGGACGGACGGGGAGGGGTAAAAGGAGGAGAGGCCGGCCGCTGGGAAGAAGGGAGAACCTGAAACCCGGTTAGCATGTGGGTGCACGGGAAGCCGGGGACCGGAGGCTCCGTGGTCTGGGAGTGGAGGGATAAGGGATGGGCCTGGGGGTCCTCAGAGGGATGGGGGGAATGGAAAGAGAAGGGGTAAGCACCGGCTGCTGATGGGAGGAAGCAGATCGTGGGCGAAGAGGCAGAGCAACTGTGGGAAGGGGCAAGAGAAACTCTCCCCCTGAAATGCAATTGCGGGGGGAAACGTGTCAGGGGGCCGGCCGGGGCTAAGGTGATTGGGGCGGGGGGGGGGGGGGGGGGAGGCACACCTTAAAACAAAATCCCAATAATGTGGTGGGGCCAAGGGAGACTGGAACGATTACAGAGGGGCAAGTGTGCAGGGTGAGGACTGGCTGAACACCTGGGAGGTGGGGGTGGGACTGGCCATTTGAAATTATGGAGGGGGGGGGCAGGAGGGGAGGCAAACGTCATAGGAGCCCATACTCTGGGTGCTCTTGGGAACACTGGTCAGAAAGGTGGACACCCCACCCACCACCACCCTCCCTCCCCTCATTCAAGGCAGCGCGTCCTCCATTACCCTACTTTCCCAGAACCTGTCCCCCACTCCATCTCCACCCCCTGTCCACCAGTGGGTTACGTGGACTCATCAGGCAGAGCTAGGCCCAGGGCGTCTCCCCACGCATCACTGCCCTTCCCCAGGCTCCGCCCACCCCCAGCCCAGCCTTCCTTCTTAGAGGGAGGAAGAGGGGCCGTTTCCTTCAGCAACCCACACCCTCCTGGCTCGGGATTACGCAACAGCCGACTCATTCTTTCCTAAAACAAGGGCACTGGGCAGAGACTAAACTTCAGTTCTGGGCCTCCAAGCAAGAATGCCAGGGCTTCCTGAACTTTTAGGAAAATATAAAATAAAAGAACCTCACCCTCCGGGCCTACCCTGGGTCCCTAGAACCCCCATTTTGGGAGTAGGGTCTTCCGGCAGCCCTGAGACACGGAGGCAGATTGGACAGGTGAGGGGTGGGGGGGGGGGGGAGACGCTTGAGGTGGGGTGGAGGAGGCAGCTCTCCTCCACTCTGCAGAGGCTCTGTGACCTCCTGGCCCAGGTCCTGACCCCAGGGTGTAGAGCTTTGTCTCATCCCCAAACCTGTATCCCTCCATTTTGCCCTGTACATGGTTCTGGCAAGGGCTTTCCTCTTGGGCTCCAGCTTCCTGCTCCTGAATAAGACAGAAAGGCCCGTGGGATGCTGGGATGGGGACCAGATGGCTGTGCTCCCTGCAGGCTCCCAGTGGCTTTTGTTTTGTTTTGTTTTGTTTTGTTTTGTTTTGTTTTGTTTTGTTTTTTAATTGCTTGGGCTCCTCCTTTGTGAGTTATATTGCAGAAGAGCCCAATACTCCAGCCTCTCACACACACCACTCTCTTCTCAATAGTCCCTTCTTAAACTCCCCCTTACCCCCTTCCACATCTCTGCCATCACCACCACCCATAGAGATTTCCTTGTTTACTGCTCCCACCTGCCCAGCTTGGTCCTCCCTGCAGTCTAAACTGGGTTGCACAATCCAGTATCACTCCCCCCACCCCCTCAGCATTGCACTTCCCCTCTCCCCTGCCCTCCAGCATGGAAGCCCAGAGCTGTGTGCTGTCAGAGCTGGGGTCTGACCAGGCTCTCTCTTGCAGACCGAGACTCAGGAATTTGCTTCTCTTACCTTTGGGAACCCCTCCACCTCAGCATCCAGAGCAGAAATCTGACGCACATCGTGGGCACTCAGGAGGGCATGTGAGCCAAGGTGCAAACCACTGAGAATCTGCTGGCCTCCCAGTGAGAGTAGTTTGCTAACAGCTTCTGCCAGCGCTGCAAAGAGGCCCAGAGTGTGTTCAGGGTTCAATAGGAAAGGGAAACCTGGCCCCAGATAAATCAAAGAGGGCTCCCTGGAGAAAAGGCGTTTACAACAGAGTTTGGGAGAAGAAATAAATATGGTTGATGCCAAAACCAGTTTGGCTCAGTGGATAGAGTGTAGGCCTGGGAACTGAAGAGTCCCAGGTTCGATTCCGGTCAAGGGCACGTACCTTGGTTGCGGGCACATTCCCAGTAGGAGGTGTGCAGGAGGCAGCTGATCGATGTTTCTCTCTCATCAATGTTTCTAACTCTCTATCCCTCTCCCTTCCTCTCTGTAAAAAATCAAGAAAACATATTTAAAAATAAAAATAAAAATAAATATGGTTGAAGAGAGTGGAAAGTCTCTCAGGTAGGACACTCTTTGTGTAACAGGTATGGGAGTGAAGTGTAGATATGTGTATATACATGGCTCAGCATACATACTTATTTACCTAACTCTATTCACTAAGAAGGCCTAGAAGCAATGGGATCCCAATAGCAGTGAGTGCTCCTAGAATCTAGATCTTGGTTTCCAAATATCATTCTCCAATAAAAAGGAACAGAACCCCTTCTAGAAACAGCTGATTCTAGGCTGGAGGCAGGGAAAAACAAGATAAGCTGGAGCACCTTTTTTAATATATGAATTTTTTTTTTTTTTTTTACAGAGAGGAAGCGAGAAGGATAAAGAGTTAGAAACAGTGATGAGAGAGAAACATCGATCAGCTGCCTCCTGCACATCCCCTAGGGCATGTACATTGGTTGCGGGCACATTCCTGGTAGGAGGTGTGCAAGAGGCAGCTGGTCGATGTTTCTCTCTCATTGACGTTTCTAGCTCTCTATCTCTCTCATTGACATTTCTAGCTCTCTATCTCTCTCCCTTCTTCTCTGTAAAAAAATCAATAAAATATATTTAAAAAAAAATAAAAATAAAATAAAATCAATGAAAACATATCTTCAGGTGAAAATTTAAAAAATCAAATATATGCAAAATTAATGTATGCAATAAATTATATTTCTGTATATTAGCAATAAACAATTTGACATTAAAATTAAAAAGAACATTTAAAATTGTATAAAAATATGGAATACTTAGGGGATAAATCTGACACAGTGGAAACTATAGAACATTTCTGAGATAAATTAAAGACAAATAACTGGAGAGATATAACATGTTTGTGGATTTGAAGACTGTATATTGTTAAAATGTCAGTTCTTCAAAATTGGCCAATTAAAATCCCAAGGGGGTGGGGTGGGATCCCAGAAAACTTTTTTTTCTTTTTTTTGTAGAAATTGGCAAGGCGATTTTTTATTTTTTATTTTTTTTTAAATCAATCTTTATTGTTCATATTATTACAAAGGTTCCTCATTTCTTCCCCCCTCCACCAGGTTCCCACCCCACCCTCCGACCCCTCCCCATCCCCCATTGTCCTCATCCATAGGTGCAGTTTATGTTCAGTCTCTTCTTCCCTCCCTTTCCCCAATAGTAAATCCCTTTTCAGATAGTAAATCAGTTACTTAGCATTTTCTCAAATCAATAATACCTCCACATGCCCAATGATACACTTCACACAAAAGACATTTCCCAATAGGTCCACCAGCCTCATCCAGGCCCCACCCAAGGCACTCACAGATCAACACCCCAGCCCTATACTAACTCAACACATCCAGATCTAAGCCTTCATCACTTGATTCAGCAGACCCTCAAGTTCCCACGAAAGTTTCCAGCCATGTCTGAGAAGCAGCCGTGGGGCAGGGGCAGGCGAGGAGCGAGCTGTTCCGGGCCTGGCTGCTCAGGGCCTGGCCTCTGTTGCTCTGGTTCGTTCCACAATCAGCTGCTCTGGGTCTGGTCACTGCCGCTCCCGACCTAGTTGCTCTGGACTTGGCTGCTGCTGCTCTGGGCCTGGCCATTCCCAGCCTGGCAGCCACTGCTCCAGGCCTGGCCGCACCCGACCCGGCTGCTCCCCCGGGGGCAAGGCGATTTTTTAAAAAAGGGTTGCCACAAATTCACAGTGAGATACAGTGAAAACTCGTGATGACAAATTTAGTATTTCTATTTATTTGCTTTAAAGATTTTTAAAAATTCATTTTCAGAGACAGAAGGAGAGAGAAACATTGATGTGACAGTGAAGCATCAATCAGCTGCCTCCAGTATGACCCCCACCAAGGATGGAGCCCACAGTCCCAGCATATGCCTGGGAATCTGGAATTGAAAAGAGGCCATCTTTCTGTGCACAGATGAGATCCAGACAACTGAGCATTCCTGCCAGGGTGGCAAGATGATTTTTCATATGGAAATACAAACGATCAGATCTGGAATAGCTCAAACCAACTTTAAAAAAGAAAAGCAAGCCCTGGCAGGTTGTTGATTGGAGCATTGCCCTGTACATTAAAAAAAAAAAAAAAAAGTTTCGAGTTCAATCCTGATCAGGGCCCAAGCCTAGGTTTCAGATTTGATCCTTGGTGAAGGGTATGCAGAAAGCAGCTGACCAATGTTTCACTCTCACATTGATGTTTCTCTCTCTCTCCACCCCTCCCTTTTTCTCTAAAATCAATAAAAACATATCCTCCAGTGAGAATTTTAAAAAATGTAAAAAAGAAAAAGAGAAAAATTGGAGGACTTATATTACCTGATTTCAAGACTTATTATAAAGCTCTAGTAATCTAAACATAAAGATAGAACAGTGGAACAGAATAGAGAGTCTACAAATATATTCACATATATACAGTCAATTGACTTTTTATCGTTTTCTTAAAATTTTTTTTCCTTGCTCAATTGATTTTTTACAAAGGTGTAAAGGCAATTCAGTAGAGAAAGGATAGTCTTTTTAACAGATGCTGCTGGGACAATTGGATATTCATAGGCAAAAAGTAAATTTTAATCCATATATCACACTATATACAAAAATTAATACAAAATGAATCATATATCTCAATATAGTTGTTAATACATAATCTCAATCTAGTAATGAGCAATCAGATAAAATGAAACTGAGGAACATTATACCAAATAATGGCATATACTCTTCCAGAAATACTGAATCACTGTCCCAGACTAAGAAGACTAAAAAGACAATGTGGGGTCCTGGATTAGATTTGGTACAAGAAAAAAGATATTGCCGAAGCCGGTTTGGCTCAATGGTAGAGCCTCGGTCTGCGGACTGAAAGGTCCCAGGTTCGATTCCGGGCAAGGGCATGTACATTGGTTGCGGGCACATCCCCAGTAGGGGGTGTGCAGGAGGCAGCTGGTCGATGTTTCTCTCTCATCGATGTTTCTAGCTCTCTCTCTCCCTTCCTCTCTGTAAAAAATCAATAAAATATATTTTTTAAAAAAGATATTAGTGAATAATTGGTTAAGATGTTTGAATAAGGTCTGTAAATTACTTAACAGTATCGTACCAATGTTAATATCCTGGTTTTATTGATTGTACTATGGTTATGTAAGATGTGAACATTAGAGGAAATTGGGAGAAAGATGTTTGGAATTCCATGTACTATTTTTGTAAATATTTACAAATATAAAATTGTTTCAAAATAAAAATAATTTGATGAATTATAGCTTAAATGCAAAACCTAAAAACCATAAAACTACTAGAAGAAACAGACTATCTTTGTGATCTTGGACTAGGCAAACATTTCTTAAATAGGACACCAAAAGCATTTATAAGTTAAAACTTGATAAATTAGACTTCTTCATGATTAAGAACTGCTCTTTGAAAGACACCGTTAATAGAATGAGAAGACAAGCCACAGATTAGAAGAAACTATTTGTAAATTATGTATCTGATAAAGGATTTAAATCCAGAATATATATAAAAGAAAAACTTTCAAAATGTAATATTAAGAAAAAACACCTCAATTTTAAAAAATGGACAAATGATTTGTACATTTCACCAAAGAAGATCTATAGGTAGCAAATAAGCATGTGAAAAAGATGCTCAATACCATCAGTCATTATGGAAATGCAAATTGAAACTACAACAAAATATCACTACAAACCTATTAGGATGGCTAAAATCTAAAAGAATGACAGACAATGTCCTCACTGGTTTGGCTCAGTGGATAGAGTGTCGGCCTGCAGACTGAAGGGTCCAGGGTTCTATTCTGGTCAAGGGCACATGACCAGGTTGCACATGACCAAATTGGGGGCATGCAGTAGGCAGCCGATCAATGATTCACCTTATTTATTTATTTATTTATTTATTTTTTACTTTTCGGAACTATCCTACTTCATTTTCCTTATTAATAGCTGAGGTCACGATGAAGGTTGTAGAGTCAGAGGGGGCCCTTTTAGGCTGGTTTCCTTAGGCTTTTACAGCTCCTCCGCTCTTTCTTCTGGTTTTCTCCTTGCTTCTCACTGTAGAATTTCCAGTCAGTCGACTTTCCTGTAGTTCTGGGTAATGTCCATTTTATATTTTAGTTGTATTTTATTGAAATTGTTGTGTGCGGCTGCGGCTAGGTGTTTACCTGTGCAGCCATCTTGGATTTCATCTCACTCTCATCATTGATGTTTCTATCTCTCTCTCCCCATCCCTTCCTCTCTCTGAAATCAATAAAAACATACTTAGCCATTTATGCCTAAGTATCTACTCAAGAGAAAATGAAATATATGTCCATACAAACATGAATGCAGCCTTATCTATATATATAAAAGCCTAAGCGACTGTTACAACTGGCCAACTGAAAGACCAGTTGACCCGTCACTATGACATGCACTGACCAACAGGGGATAGACACTCAATGCAGGAGCTTCCCCCTGGTGGTCAGTATGCTCCCACAGCCAACCTCCTGTGGCCAGTCAACCTCCTGTGGTCCTTCCCCACAGCTGTCCCTGATTGCCCCATCACTGGCCAGGCTGAGGGACCCCACCTGTGCACAAATTCATGCATGGGGCCTCTAGTTTGTAATATTGTCCCAAACTGGAAACAATCAAATGTCCATCAATAAGTGAATGATAAATTTACTCATTTACTCAGCAATAAAATAGAATGAACTATTCATATATACAATAACATAAACAAATCCCAAAAGAATTATGCTGAATAAAAGAAGCCAGACCTTCCCCAAGAGCATATACTACAAGATTCCTTTTATACAAAATTCTAGAAAATGCAAACTAAACTAATGACAAAAGCAGATTAGTAGTTTCCTACAGATGAAAAGGCGGCCGGACATTACAGGGATTATAAAGGAGCATGAGTACACGTTTGGGAGTGATGGAATGTTCACTATTTTGATTGTGGAATTTTCATGGGTATATTCAAAAGTTATCAAATAATATCCCTTAAATATGTATGGTCTATTACATGTCAATTATACCTCAATAAAGCTGTTTAATAAAATATATTTAGATATTAACCACAAATTATCAATTAGGTTCTGAGAATGTCAACAGATTGAGGATTCACCAAAAAGGCCAGCCCCATTTGGCACCTGAAGATGCGGAAATCCCGAGTAGAAAAACAAACATCAGTAACATTTCAGAAATACCTTCTGCCAGCCATTTCTCTCCGTCTCAGGCCCTAGCTAGCTAGTTTCTGGAGGGAGTCAGGAGACCCAGTTGTGACCATGGACATGACTCTAGGAGCTGCCTGGCTGGTCACGCTTTAGCTGCCTTTGGGAAGAGCTGAGTTGACACTTGGGGTATTTTCACAGCTCAGGAAGAAGGGGTGGAAGAGAGGAAATGAAGGAAACAGAAGGAACTATCCTTTAAGGAGAGTAACTATCTGGAACCATGTAACTCAGGGGCTGGAAGGGAGCTAAGAGAACACATTTCAATACTTTTTAATAAGAACACCAAGATCTTGATCTTTCCGTCACAGAATTGGGACTCTAACCTAGGTTCTCAATTTTTCATCAACACCTATTTCCAGCATGCCAGTGGTCACTGTGTATGGCATAAGAGATGATGGCTTCTGTTTCATTCAACATTTGTGGATTGTCTATTTATAAGAATAGGATAAATCTCAGAGTCTGAAGTAGCTCATAGGCTAGCAGAGACAGGTCTACACACAGAAGGGACCTTAATAATACAAGTATAATTGTAATAAGGGCTATAAATGAGGTGCAAACAAGATAGAATGTAAATACAGAGGGGGAAAAAAACCTCCTGATTTGGAAAAGGGATTTGGTGATGGAAGGAAATCAAGGAAGTCCTCCCCAGAATGGCAATAACACTTTCGAAGGTATTCAATAAATGCTTGTATCTTTCTTCTCTTCACATTATGACTCCAACCCCGCTTTCTTATCACACCAGGCTCTTTTGTTCCTGACATGCCAAATGTTTGGACGTGCAGAAGTTTCACGCCGCTGGGCCTTTTGCATTCGAAATTCTCTCCTGGAATGAAATGTCCCCTACTGAGCAAAAGGTTACAAGAAATGGAGCTCGCCGAAACGGGTTTGGCTCAGTGGTAGAGCGTCGGTCTGCGGACTGAAGGGTCCCAGGTTCGATTCTGGTCAAGGGCATCTACCTTGGTTGCGGGCACATCCCCAGTAGGGGGTGTGCAAGAGGCAGCTGATCGATGATTCTCTCACAGACGTTTCTAACTCTCTCTCTCTCCCCTCCTCTCTGTAAAAAATCAATGGAGGCCCGCTTCAGGCTCTTCATTTACAAGAGAGAGAGAGAGAGAGAGAGAGAGAGAGAGAGAGAGAGAGAGAGAGAGAGAGAGAGAGAGAGAGAGAGAGAGAGAGAGAGAGAGAAAGATCATAATACGATTCATCTCATAAGACTATAGAGTATATTAAAAGGAATCCCCACAAAGCTTTTGGCATCACATCTCGTGCAGACGCGGCTCAGGAAACACTAGCCAGTATTTATCCGCGCGCTTCTACCTTCTCCGCCTGCCCAGGAGCCACCCCGCTATCGCCCCGTCAGCGCCCAGACCGCCCGGCGCTGCGCGCGCGCCGCCACGTCGCCGCCTCCCACGCCCGGACACCCCGGTTTGCCAGCCCCACCCAGCGCTAGGTACCCGGTTCACCGGGCCGCGCCCGACCCCGGCTGCGCCCTCCTATTGGCTCTTACAGGTGCCTGTCGTCCGAGGTCGTTTCGGATTGGTCGAGGAGAGTAGTAAGAGGCGGGCCTTAGGGAGTAGGTAGGGCGGGGACCCGGATGTGTGTGGTGGCGGCGGCCGAAGAGCTGGAGTGCGAGCTGAGAGGCCTATGGATGAGGAGGACGCGGCGGCCCCGGTAGGCGGGGATCGGGGGCGGGGTCCCAGAGATCCCGGGTCTCCCCCGGGCCTGAGGCGGGAGGCGGGAGCCCAGGGCGGCGCCTGGCGCTCTTGCCCGGAGGCTTCCCCGGTCGGGACCCTCGCCCCGCGCCAGGCGTGGGGAGGCTGGGCGTCGTCATCTGACAGGCTGGCCGCGGCGCCCCCGGCTCTCCTCTCAGTGGCCGGGCGGGTGGAGGCGGGGCTGGCGCTGCCGCCACTGGCCGGTGCCACGGCTGCGGGGCTCTGGGGAAGCAGATGCCCCGAAGTCTGGGGCGCCGGCGCCACCTCGGATCAGCCCTGGCCGAGGGAGGACAGGCACAGGCTGCCCAGAGGTGCTTACCCTTCCGGGCCTGCCCTTACGAAGCACCTACTGTGTGCAGAGCACTGTCAGGCCTGAGGGGACCCCTGTCTCAGGGTTTGGGGAACAGGGAAAGTACCGCACCCTTTTCTCACTTTTGGCTTCCAGGAAAAATTCATTCACTCACTCACTCACTCACTCATTCATTCATTCATTTGTTTGTTCATTAGTTCATTTATTCATTCCTATGTTAGCACCATTGGTGGTTCAAACACCCAGATCATTCTACTCCGCTCCATCTTCTCTGCTGCCATCTGAGTGGATGCCGGCTCTCATCTGAACTGGTGCCACAGCCTCGTCATTCATGGTTCACCACCCCCGCTCCTCTTTTGGTCAGTGCTCCCACAATGGCCTGAATGATCTTTAAGACCCGACAAGCCTTAAGTCCGTATCATTTCCTCACTTAAAACCCTCCACAGGTTTCCCGTCACACTTGGAATAAAGCACAAACTCCTCGCTGTGGTCTCTAAGGCCTTGATCTGGCCCCTGCCTTCTCGTTTTCCTCTTGTGTTATCTTTCCTGTTTCTTATACGTCAGCCACCTGGCCTTTTATTTCCCTTCAGGCCAGCTCCCTTCTACCCCAGGACCTGTGTCCTGGCTGTCCCCTGTGCCTGGAATGCCCTTTCTTGGACTTGTAACATGCCTGGCTCCTTCTCGTCCAACTCTTATGTCTCCTCCTCAGAGAGAGGCCTTCTGTAGACAGAGGTCACCCCATGTTCTTGATCCCCTCGCTCTGCTTTTTCCTGCAGTGTCTAACATGGTCACATCTGCCTATGTTCTGGCCTGCCTCCTTACACTAGAATGGAAGCCCTGTTAGAGCGGGAATCCCCTCCATCTCGTCCACAGCGTGTCTGTAGCACCTAGAATTATAAAACGTTTGTTGAACGAAAGAACGAGGACGGAGATTGTTGAGGTCCACCTGGGCAATTGGCTTCCAGTCCAGCACCCTCACCACATTGCTGGTAAAACAGGCTGAGATGCTTTGTTAAGGGCCCTGCTTCCTTCTCAATCCCTTTCTCCCCACCCACACAGGTTTGTTCTCATGAACAAGATGGATGACCTCAATCTGCACTACCGGTTTCTGAATTGGCGTCGGCGGATCCGGGAGATTCGGGAGGTCCGGGCATTCCGGTATCAGGAAAGGTTCAAGCACATTCTTGTAGATGGAGACACTTTGAGGTGAGTTGAGGGGAGTTTTCCACATTTTCCTTCGTGTGCCAGATCTTAGAGATGAAAACGGGCTTTTTTTTTTAGGCAGAGGACTGTCTACACTGCCTGGGAAGGGGCGGTGCTGTTGACCGTGGGGGCCTTTCTGTGTGGAGCAGTGTGTGCTGCTTCCCCCTGCACTTTCTTCTGCCCGTGACTCTGGGTCACTCTCCTGGTCTCATTGGAAGCCGTCATGTGAGAGGCAGGAGGCTGCTGGGGGTCTCAGGAGTTGCCCAAGCGCTCAAGACTGAGGTCATCCATCTTGTGCAGAGAACAGACTTGTGTGCGGGGGTGGGGGTGGGATGGGGTGGATGGTTGAGAGGATGCCAGGGGCCTTCTTCCTGTGTCTCGCTGCCTTAGGGAAGTGGTCGGCAAACTCATTGGTCAACAGAGCCAAGCATCAACAGTACAATGACTGAAATTTCTTTTGAGAGCCAAATTTTTAAAACTTAAACTATATAGGTAGGTACATTGTTATTAACTTAGGGTACATAGTATTTTGTGGAAGAGCCACACTCAAGGGGCTAAAGAGCCACTTGTGGCTCTCGAGCAGCAGTTTGCTGTCCACTGCCTTAGGTGACGAGTGACCATTTCAAAGGCAGTGGAGTTCCTGTTTGGGGAAGGATGGTTCTGTAATGCATCCTGCTCACTGCCTTACAATCCTTTGGATTGTGTTTTTTTTTCCTCTTTTCTTTCGAGCTAACTCACAAAGTTGTCACTGAAGGGGGGAAGAAAGTAGTGTTATTTAGCCTGGAAACAAGAAAGCTGAGGAGTAGGGACTGAATAACTGTCTTTCAGTCTACGAAGGGCTATGGTCCAGAGGATAGAGACCAGCCGTTCTCCAGCTCCCGGAGGACAGAGCCAGAGGAAAAGGGCCGGAGCTGCAGCAGGAGGGACTGAGGTTAGACAGAGTTGTGAGACCCTTAGTGAAGCCACTAAGGGAGGCCCTGCTGTCTTTTCCCCCTGAAACGAAGAAACCAGGCTTGTGTTGGTCAGGGTGGCTTGGACCCTGATTGGAGGCAGCGGGAGGACCTCAAGTATCTTGTTATGGTGTCTGTACCAATGTCCTAAGGTGTGGCCTAGTGGATTCTCCTCTGTGCGGGCCTTCGCAGGGTTGGGGCTGGAGATGAGGCCCTTCCCCCAACTCCTGGGCTAGGTTGCTAATGGAACTTCCCACTCATTCCTCCTCAGTTACCATGGAAACTCCGGTGAAGTTGGCTGCTATGTGGCTTCTCGACCCTTGACCAAGGACAGCAATTATTTTGAGGTGGGCAGAGCAGGGGGTGAGATCATTACGCTCCAAGAACCTTTCTTTCCTTTTTTTTTTTTTTTTTTTTTTTACTGGGTTCACAGTGTGGGCCTTTTCATTTTCCGTCAGAGTTGTCCTGTTGGCCTGTTGGCTGGGAAAAGGGCACAGGGAGCATGGTGCCTAATCTGAGAGAGAGGTGCCCTGGAGTCCTGTCATGCCGTCCCTTTAGCTCTCCTGTCCCTCATCCAAGTAGACTTTGACCCATGTCCTTTCCCACCATTAACCCAAGCCCAGCATCTGCGTCCAGTCCTATCCATTAACTGGAAAGTATTTTCTAAGTAATCATGGTAGAGTAGGCCCCCACTCTCCCAGTTTCCCCTCCGAGTGCCCTGTCTTTTTCTCCGATTCCCAGGTCTGTTGTCTCTTTGAGCCTCAGTCCCCTTTGATGGCCAGCCTCCCTTCCCCACACCAGCAGCAGTGCCCCACCCCGCCTGTGCTAACTGCCCTGCTCTCCTCCCTCCAGGTGTCTATTGTGGACAGTGGTGTCCGAGGCACCATCGCGGTGGGGCTGGTCCCTCAGTACTACAGTTTGGATCACCAGCCTGGCTGGTTGCCCGACTCTGTAGCCTACCATGCTGATGATGGCAAGTGAGTTTCCTCCTGCGGAACCTAACCTCCTTCCTGTGGATCCGGGGGTTAGGGAATCCTATATAAAAAAGCTAATATGCAAATGGTCATCACACCCTGGAGCCCTCGAGCTGGGGCCAGGGGACCTCAGGCAGAGCTGGGGGACCTAAGGCTGCGCCCCCCCCACCGGGGGGGGGGGCTTGACAGGGAACCTGAGGGACCTGAGGCTGTACCCCCTGCCTGGCAGGGCTTAACAGGGGACCTGAGACTGCCCCACCCAGTGCCAGGCCGGGGGACCTGAGGCTGAGTTTCCTGCCCGGAGGGGCTTGACAGGGTTGGGGCTGGCTGGGTCTCACCCAGTGGGGGTGAGGCCAGCTGAGTCTGGGTCTCCTGCATTTTCGAAGCATGTGTAGGTGGGCAGGGACTTGACTCTAAGTCCTGTGGTGTGCCGCAGACTCTGACAGGAAGAAGATTTTCATATACATTTTACTAATTTTCTAATTTTCTTTCATTGCTGATACTTTTATTATAGAGAAAGAGCCAATAGCAATATTAAAATATTTCCTTTAATTAATTCCCTTTTAATGTGCATGAATTTTGTGTACTGGGCCACTAGTCTTAGATATAAAGGACTACCTCAGAGTGGCTTTTGCCATTCCTTTACTTGTCTTGGGGTATTTTCATAGACTTTTCTGATCAGGACAGGAAGATGGCCTAATGGCTACTCTTGGAGGTTTGTAGACTTAGAGGAAGGGTGGGACTTGTGCTGGGACATAGGTAGATGCTGTCACAGGATGACTGGGAAGCAGCAAGATGAGGCCTCAGCTGTTGGCAGCGGGAAGAAGTTGGGAGGCTCAGCTCAGGCCCCGTGTCTGTGCTGCTCTGTCCACAGGCTGTACAATGGCCGAGCCAAGGGCCGCCAGTTTGGGTCAAAGTGCAACTCCGGGGACCGGATTGGCTGCGGTATTGAGCCTGTGTCCTTTGATGTACAGACTGCTCAGATCTTCTTCACCAAAAACGGGAAGCGGGTAAGTGGAAATCCCAAGTTGGTTTTAAGCAGTTTGAAGCTGTGTAAGAATTTGTGGGAGTGATAAAAAAGAGGCTGCTGGCTGGCACTTGCTCCGTTCCCACCTCCTTCCGTCCAGCCTCAGGTTCTGACATCTGGTGTAGGAGAAGACACTTCCCTGCCCAGGGGAAGCTGGCCATTACCCAGATGAAAGATGCAGAGGGGCAGTAGTGCCATGGCGGATGAGCAGAAATTGTGGGGGACAGAAGTGGGGGAGGGTTTTGGGCAGGAACAAAGAAGAGAAGATGGTGGCCTGGCTATATAAGTTGGAGCTCCTCTTTGGGTTTTTGACTTGAATACTTTCGAGGATATGTCTTTTCTGTGTGTATTTTCTTTGTTTCACTTCTCCTTCCCTTTCTTCTTCAGAGAGAGACTATAAGTAGGGAAGAGATGGGATAAGAGCACACAGCAAAGAGAGCCACCAGCTCTGTACCCAACCCTGGGAAAACTGCTTCCTCAGGCCGAGGCTGAGAAGTCCTACTCCCTCAGCACCTAGGCCTCAGCATTTTCCTGCCTCCATGCACACACACTCATAGCAAGTTGAAAGCCTTGTGTTTGCCTTCTAGCTCTGTGCAAACCTTGCTCGGCTAGGAGTACTTAGCAGCTTTAAGGTTTTTTTTCGACACCTCTGTTTTTCTGTCTGGCGGCGTATGTGATAATTGTTTTTTGCATCATCTCAGAAGCAGCCTGTGAGAATGAGATGAGCTATGCAAAAGTGAGCCCGATGACAGCTCCTCCCTCCCCCATTGCAGGTGGGCTCCACCATCATGCCCATGTCCCCAGACGGGCTGTTCCCAGCGGTGGGCATGCACTCCCTGGGTGAGGAGGTACGGCTGCACCTCAACGCCGAGCTGGGCCGTGAGGACGACAGTGTCATGATGGTGGACAGCTATGAGGACGAATGGGGCCGGCTGCATGATGTCAGGGTCTGTGGAACTGTAAGTAAGGGGCAGCGGGGGTGGGCGGGAGGGCTGGGCAGGACACCCGTGGGCCACATAAGCAGGTCTGAATTGCTTAGAATTGGGGGTAAGGACGGTGTCTTTTGTAAGGTTTGGGAAAATGGGAATTGTGGCAGCATAGCCTGGGGGAGTCTTGACACGATTTTTTAAAATATGTTTTCTTCTTAGCACTGATTCACTTTCTTCCCATCCCCTTCATTTGAGAGCTTTACTCTCGGAACAAGTAGCAGTTCTCTTTTGTCTTCTTTGGCTCCTTCGGCACCTGCTGAGCCCTGCTGCCCTGCACACCTGCCTTTGAGAGGCTGGGGCTGCCTGGGAGGCAGGATGCCTACATCCCCCGTTGGGCTGTATTACAGCTTTGCTCCCCAGGCTTTCCATTCACTGCTGTGGGGCAAGTGTGGTCACAAGTCCTGCTCATGTGGAAAGGTTCTTTGAGCTCATTTTGAGTAAGTGTCAATGTCAATATCTTCTGTTTTCCCTCTACATTCTATAGAGGATGAGACTAGAGGCATAGGAAGGTCCGTGAGAACTCTTGTCAATGCACTGCTTGCTTTTTTATACATCTTGGTTAAAAAGATTTATTCTCTCTCTTTTCTGGCTTGTACCCCTTCCCTGACTCCTTTAGTCTTTTCATGCCTGCTTTAGTCTTTTCCTGGATTTTAAATTTTGTTGGGATGTGTGTGCACCTTCACATCTACCCTCTGTACCTCATGCTAGGCTGGGAATGAATGGATGCTGAGTCGGGGTCTGGCCCTGGTCTCCAGTGGACTGCTCAGACCTCCCACTTCGAATTGTCCCTCTGCTGCCCCCCTTGCTCCCAGTTCAACCTTTTCTCCATCCTCTGGCCTTCTCACCGCCAACCCAGGCTGTTTTCAAATCAGCCTTTGAGAGCAAAACAGAAGCATGGGGGTGAGGTTGGGGGGTAGAAGTGGATAATGAGCAAGCGCCCCCCCCCCCCCCCCCTAGAGTTCAAGGTGAGTTAAACTCAAGGAAAATGGCAGAAAGTGTGTCTTCCTGCTGCTTCGGACACTCTGCAGCCCCTTCTGACACTAGGGTCCAAGGACTGCTATGCTGTGAGCTAGGAGGCCTTGGATGCCCACTCCTAGGCCCTTTTCTCTTTCTTTTCCACTTCCACCATCATTTTGACAACATCTACAGAGCTGAACTTGGAATTGAGCCAGGGCTGTGTTCCCGCTCTCGTCCCTGACCTCTCCTCAAGAGTATTTTCCTGGCGTGCTTTCCCTGTCTGGACCTGTCCCCACTCTGCTCCCGGCTCCTCCCAGGCAATTTTTTCTAATTGATGCAGAATCCTGTAGACATTTATAAATAGCCTTCATTTCTCTCTGCCCTTCCCCCAACACCCTCAGGCCAACCGTTGAAGATTTTTTTTCTTTCTTAGACATAAGCCGTTACATTTAGCTCTTTTTTTCAGACCCTCCAGCTTTTAACAGCTAGTAGGGTGGGCACACTACTCCCTGAATATTTGCTCCTCTGGAGCAGATTGGGCATGCGCCTCCTGAAGGAAATGTGCCTTCATGGGGTGCATCTTTCTAATAAGGGGACTTACCCACTTTCTTCCATCCCCTGGGCCTCCCGTCCACTTGTCTGTTGATCCCCTCCCTTTTGTGGTCATTCTCTGAATTTCTGATCCAGCAATCAGAGTTGTGTTAGTCTGGAGGAGCCTAGGGGAAGTCATTTGGACCATGCCTGTGCCTCCTATTTCTATGTTCAGCACGGCTCTTTCTCCTCTTTGCCTTTCCTGTTTTATCATTCCCCTCTGTGGGGAGCCCTTCCCTGGGACCTCAGACCTTTGCTGTGTTGAAGCTTGTTTATCCTGCCCTGGGTGACATTCCCAGGAGAGCATCCTTTAGAACCACAAAGTTTTGGGAGAGGCTTTGGTGCCATCTAGTCCAGGGTTTCTTAGTACGAAAGCTGTGGGCATTTTAGGTGAGACAGTTTCTTGACAGACAGGATGCTTAGCATCTCTGTCTCTGGGCATTGTGACGGCCACACGTTCCCTGATACCATGTTATGCTGTTGATGAAAAAATAGTCCCAGAGAAGTGAAGAGACTTGTTCAAATGTTAAAAAGTGAATTAGTACCTGGCCATTGTGCTCAGTGGTTGAGTATTGACCTATGAACCAGGAAGTCACGGTTCGATTCCGGTGAGGGCACATGCCTGGGTTGTGGGCTCAATCTCTAGTGTGGGTGTGAGGGAGGCAGCCGATCAATGATTCTCTCTCACCATTGATGTTTCTATTTCTCTCTCTCTCCCTTCATCTCTGAAATCAATAAAAATATATTAAAATGTTAAAAAGTGAATTAGTGACAAAACTAAGCCCAGATATTCATTCTTTGAACCCTACCCACGGCCTTTGCACTGCCTAATATGTGCTGTTACCTTCTGACCATGCCCGCTCTCCTGTCACCACTCATCTCCCCTCCTCCTGCCCTCTTCTCCTGCCCCCTTCTCTTAAGATGAATCTGGAGTTCCTGGGCCTCAATTCCTACTTCCCAGGGATTCTCTTGTCCTTCAGCCAAGGCCCTTCTGGGTGAGTTTATTTGGTTGCCTTGGGATTCTTTTATTCCTAGTCCTTTTTCAAGGTTTTGGAATCTCAATCATCCTTTCTTCTCCTTTTCACTGGTTCTTCCTAAAAGAAGAGCAAATTCAATTTCTGACTTTTTTCTCTCCAACATTCATTATGGAAAATTTTAAACATACAGAAAAGTTGAAAAAAATAGTACAGTGAACATTTATATACCCACTATTTACATTATTCAACAGGTGTTAATTTTTAAAATATATATTTTATTGATTTTTTTACAGAGAGGAAGAGAGAGGGATAGAGAGCTAGAAACATCAATGAGAGAGAATCATCGATCAGCTGCCTCTTGCACACACCCTACTGGGGATGTGCCTGCAACCAAGGTACATGCCTTTTTTTTTTTTTTTTTTTTTTTTTTTAAATATTTCTTTCTTTTTTAAAAAAATATATTTTATTGATTTTTTTACAGAGAGGAAGGGAGAGAGATAGAGAGCTAGAAACGTCGATGAGAGAGAAACATTGACCCGCTGCCTCTTGCAAACCCCCTACTGGGGATGTGCCCGCAGCCAAGGTACATGCCCTTGACCAGAATCGAACCTGGGACCTTTCAGTCCGCAGACCGATGCTCTACCACTGAGCCAAACCGGTTTCGGCGAGGTACATGCCCTTGACTGGAATCGAACCTGGGACCCTTCAGTCTGCAGACTGATGCTCTATCCACTGAGCCAAACCAGTTTTGGCAACAGGTGCTAATTTTCAGTCATGTTTGCTTAATCTGAGTGTCTATAAAGAGTTAGACCTGGCTCTTTTTTTTTATTTTTTTTTATTTTTTGAGAGAGAGGAAGGGAGAGGGAGAGAGAAAAACATTGATGTAAGAGTGAAACATCAAGCAGCTGCCTCTAGCATGCCCCCTACTGTGGATTGAATCTGGGCATGTACCCTGATTGGGAATCAAACCAGCAACCTTTTGGTGCACAGACAATTCCCTGATAATGCCTAAGCAACTGAGCAACACCAGCCAAGACCTGGCTTTCTTAAGTGGAATTCTTCCCTTGCTTCCTGTGGCCTCAGCTTACCCTCCTTCCTGGAACTCTGAGGGTGTTGGAGTGTAGCTGCTGCATTGCTCAGGAATGGGGGTGTTGTCCCTCACCTCACCCATGCCCCAAAGCCTTGCACACAAAGGTAATGAATAGAGGATGGGGGGCGGTTAGTAAAGCTTGGAGATTAGACTCATTCTGTCTTTTCTTTGTTTTCTAGTCAGAGCTCCTCTGACAACTCCATAGTGACGGGGCAACAGCTTTGATACACAAAGTGGGGTGAATGAGGCCCCACCCTCCCAGGGGTCCTTCATGACCCCAACTCAGGAGGAGACCGTGTTGGGGCCTGAGCTGGCTGGTGGGGAGCATGTTCTTGGTTCCTGTTTCAGCTCCTCTAGGCCCTCAGGGCACTGAGCCTTTGGTTGCTCCTGTCAAGAGGGATTAGGGCTTCCGCTGGCAGAGGAGGGCAGATACCAGCAGGGAGCATAAGCTGAGAAGTGCTATGGTACAGGGAGAGGGGGGGTGCAGTAGGCTCTCTGCACTCTGGTCTGCAGCCTCCACTCTGGCATTGAGTCCACCTATTGGCCTCTCAAGGCTTTGGTTGTGTTTGGAGGGACACATAAGAGGCAGGGGGGTATGAGAGCCCCAAGGAAAGGGTTCCCTCTCCCTCCACCAAAGGTATAAAGGAGCATTCCTGCAGATTGGGCAATGTCTGAAGAGAAACACTGGGAGGACGACAGATGGTCAGTTGGGGCAGAGTCATCTGGGAAGTGGCCATCTGTCTTGGGAAAACAGTACTTGGTGCCGAGAGCCTAAGGGACTGTTCCCTTTGGACGTAAAGGCTGAGGTGAAAGATCATTTCCTAATTTGTAATCGGCATGTCCAGTCTGCCGCAGCTTTGGGGTGACTATTAATTTTTAGGGAGCACTGATATGTTGGCCTGTTCCAGTATAACCCCCATTTCTGATTTAGGGAAAGGCAGAAATGTGTATTGATCACCTACTAGGTGTCAGGCTCTGTGATAAGCACTTGACATTTAATTTCGTCTTCTCACCTATTTTTAGAGATGCAGATAGTAGTATTCTGATTTAACTGATGAAGAAACGTAGGCTTAAGGAAGGGCTCAAGGTTAGTGGCCAGTAAGAAATAGGAGTTAGGATCTGAACCCCGGTCTGATTGATTCTCTTTCACACTAAGGCATCTGAGGCACAGATAAGGGACCAGCATCAGGCTTTACAACTAAGACTCTCCTCTAGGTGCCTAATAGCCCTAGTCTAAGGAGGGGAGGAGTGGATTGAAGCAAGGATGGTCAGGAAGGCCAAACTTCCCCTCACTCCATCCCTTAAGTTCTCTGAGAAGGTTCTGGAAAGCTTGGGGGGACTTTGCCCAGGAGCAGGGGAGTGGATCCAAGAGGACCAGATGAATTGGGGTGGCTTCTGTCCTGAGGGGTGGGTGGCCCCTCTCTTGAAGAGGGCACATTGTGCAGGGGTCTAGTCCAGCAGGCCGTCAGCAGTCTGCCTGAACTCTGTGAGTGCCTGTTAGTGTGTGTTATCTTCCGGGCCCTTTAGCGGAGAGGCCATCCCCTCCCTGTCCACAGACGTCTGCAGCGCTGCCCTTCTCGGGGCCGAGCTAGAGGGAATGGTTGGATGGGCTTTTCCAGGGTCTGGATCCGCTGTCTCTTGGCTCTGGGAGTGGAGAACATTTTGCTTTCTACGCCGAGGCCAGTTGAATGGAGTGGGTCAAGGGCAGCTGTGGAGTCTCCCACCCAGTTCTGCAATGCTGGGTGGAGAGGATGGTCTGGAAGCTCGTTAGTGTGCATCAGACTGCAGCCCTTCCGGCTGTGGGGAGAGGTGCAGAGCAGGAACCCAGGCCAAGCAGAGAACACGCAGAGGACCATGAGCAGAATCTAAACAGTGTGGGTCTTAATCAGTGTCCAGAAGTCCAGCAGGTGACGCAGGGCACCCCGCTCTGGTGAAACAAAGCGGCGCGATCGACGTGTGGAGGAGACTGGGCTAGAGCGTAAGGCCCTGGCTGCAGGAAGGAGAGAAGAGTCGGCCTGGGTGTGGGTTTAGGTGGTCTGTACATCCCTGGCTTTTACCCTGACGCCTGCCCCCACCCCCGCCTCCAGTTCTCTTTGGCGAGGAAGGGGGACTGGGCTTATGGTGGCAGGGCTTTGGGAACCCAGAGCTGAGAAGGGGACCAAGTCCCTTTATTTCCTCTCTGAAGGGGGTGCCGAAGACAGGCTTCCTTGTTGTTGCCGGTGAGCACAATCCCTTTCCTGTTCAGGCAGGTGCTTTGGTGGGGCGAGAGGCCAGCGTCCTAAGGCGTCCAGGAGTATGTGAAGGAGGTCCCCAGGAAAAGTGTATTCTTCAGGGCTGGAAGGATGGGAAGGTAGAAGAAAGTCTTAAGGGGCAGTTTGGCTAATGAAAAAGGGATTAAGGAATCCCAGGCGAGGCTGAAGGTGGGGGGAAAGAGGGAATGGAGTTGAGTCATAGTTCTGTTATTACCATGGCGACTGACAAATAAATCCTCCCAAATTGGAGTTGCCACCCCATCATGCCCAGGCAGGACCATTGCGGACTGAAGAGCCCTTCAGTCATCTTCCCTCTCTTTCCCTCTCCACACCTTTGCTCCAGCTTCAAAGAGCCACGAGGGGTCCTAGCTGGTTTGATCCAGTGGATAGAGCATGGGCCTGGGGACTAAGAGTCCTGGGTTCGATTCCTAGTCAAAGGCACATGCCCGGGTTGTGGGCTTGATCCCCCATAGTGGGCATGCAGGAGGCAGCCAATCAATGATTCTCTCTCATCACAGATGTTTCTCTCTCTTTCTCCCTCCCTCTTCCTTCCTGTCTGAAATCAATTATTTATATATATATATATATATATATATATATATATATATATATATATGCCACGAGGGGCTGTGAGCTGGAAAGCTTGTCTTCCTAGCTTTGTTCTGCTGCTCCCCTCCCTCACATTAAATGAAGGAGGAGAGCTGTCCTGAGTTCTCTGGCACCTCCCTGACCCCAGCTATGAACAGCTCTGTTTGAAGTCAAATAAAACAAATACCTTGAGAATTATTTCAGTTTCATCCCAGACGGAATTGGCTTCTGAGCTTCTCTCCCCTCCCCCGAACACCTGGCGTTGGCACCTTACCTATCCCCATTAGGCCCTCCATGAAAGTGGCCAGGTCTCCTCAGAGCCTCGTCTTCACTTCGCCTTTTCTCTTGTTCAGGGTGTGCCTTTCCCTGCAGGGCTATCCAGGGAAGTGATGATGTAGCCTGTGGTTCCCAGCACTCAGCCGTCTGCACTGCTGTGTTGCTCTCCCTGATTCCCCCAAAACAAGGCTCAGTAGGCAGGCAGGTGCAGCATTCTGCAAGGGGCTCAGCCTTCTCGCTCATGCTGCTGTTGTTGCTACCCTGGCCCCATCTCTCTTCTCCCATGCCTGCCCAGAACACTAAGGCCCACATTGTACCTCTAGGATCTTTTACGTTTCAGCCAGATGGCCTTGGGACCAGATTTCCAGGGCGGTGTGAGCCTGTCTCCTTATCCTCCTCCCCCACTCTTCCCCGCAGCTGCTGGAGTACTTGGGCAAGGGCAAGAGCATCGTTGATGTAGGGCTGGCCCAGGCCCGGCACCCACTGAGCACACGGAGCCACTACTTCGAGGTGGAGATCGTAGACCCTGGAGAGAAATGCTACATCGCCTTGGGGCTGGCCCGGAAGGTGGGCACTAGTGCTGCTTTTTGCCTGTGGAGCTGCTCAGCTCTGGGGCTTTTGGGATGAGGCTGGGGATCCTGGTAAATCTGAGACAGATCCTGGTTGTGTATGTCTGCTGTGTAAGGGTACAGACCCCAAGTGACCTAGGGCTGAGAGTGTTGTGACTGCATCACACGCACTGAGCCCTGGGTGTGGGGTGGGGACAGCTTGCAGCCCAGGCCAGGAAAGCCAAGAACCCTTCTTACCTTCCTTGCTTCCCCTGAAACCTCAAGTGCTTGAAGGGGTGAGGCTGCAGGGTGGTAAGCAGCCGTCTGGCTTGTAGCCTATTCCAGAAGACTGAAGGTTCAGATGCTACCCCATCCTGTCCTCTTTTGTGCATTGTACACAGGTTTTCTTTCTTCTTTTTCTGTGTAGGATTATCCCAAGAACAGGCACCCTGGCTGGAGCAGAGGGTCTGTGGCTTATCATGCAGGTGAGCAGGGGCTGCCCTGGGGAAGCTGGGGCTGAGAGATGTAGAGACTCAGGGACATCCATTTTCCTGGCCCCCCACAAGTGGCCTCTCCTCCAGCTTCTGGCTGGAGAGCTTTTCCCTGTTGTCATCTGCTTTCCTTCCAAACTGTTTTCTCCTCATCTGTGTTTTTCCTCCAGCCCTAAAGGCCCGGGGAGCAGAGCCAGGGCGGGGATCTGGGCCCAAACTGGACATTCCAGGCCTCTGAGTTGGCTCCCTCTGTGCCCTTCCTGCAGATTCTGCATTTTCTTTTTTTGGTCATCTTGATTTCCTTTGGAGCTTTCTTTAGAAAGAACAAACCGGGAGTTCCTGGTCCCACCTGACTCCCCTCCCCTCTGACCAGCTCCCTGCGGACTCTCCCCCTTAGCTCTTGAAATGGGCCCTCATTGTCTCTCTCTCTATTTTTAAAAATACATTTTTATTAATTTCAGAGAGGAAGGGAGAGGGAGAGAGATAGAAACACCAATGACCAGAGAGAATCATTACAAACCCCCTACTGAGGATCAAGCCCGCAACTTGGGCATGTGCCCTGACTGGGAATTGAACCATGACCTCTTGGTCCATAGGTCAATGCTCAATCTGAGCCACACCGGCTGGGCTCTTTCTATTTTTTAATCTGGAGCCCTCTTCCTGCTTCTATCGCTACATCTTTGTTTCACCCGTCTTCCTCCTTCCTCTGGGTCAGAAAGATGAGTAGGGAAATATCAACTTCAAGCCGGGGCTGTTGGGGGTGTGTGTGTGTATGTGTGTAGAGTGTCAGCCCCTCCTTCACTGTACGCTCTCCTCTCCCTCCAACAGACGATGGGAAGATCTTCCACGGCAGTGGTGTGGGGGACCCCTTTGGGCCACGCTGTTACAAAGGGGACATTATGGGCTGTGGGATCATGTTCCCGCGGGACTACATTCTGGACAGTGAGGGTGAGTCGGTGGGTGGGGCAGCCAGGCTGGTCAGGGGGAGGGGGGAGGGTGGGGACCGTACTTCAGGAGCTCAGGTTTTCTGGTTTCCTAGGTGACAGTGATGACAGTTGTGACACGGTGATCCTGTCCCCGACTGCCCGAGCTGTCCGGAATGTCCGGAACGTTATGTACCTGCACCAGGAAGGGGACGAGGAAGAGGAGGAAGAGGAAGAGGAAGAAGATGGGGAAGAGATAGAGCAGGAGCATGAGGGCAAGAAGGTGGTGGTGAGTGTGGAGGGTTTGGGGTTGGACTAGGGTTCTTGGGCCTGGGCAAGGGCTGGTGTTGTTGGGAATAGAAAGTGGAGCCAGGGAGGGAAGAGGGAAGGCCTGGCCCTGCTGTGGGGTGTCCTGTTCTGAGGCATTGGGAGTGCCGAATTGCTGAGACTTGGTTTCCAGCCTTAGGACGCCCTCTTGTGGTCACTTCTTGCATCATCCCAAGTTTCTCCTAGAGTGATGCTGGGATTTGGGAGTGAGTGGGGTTCAGTCCTGTGTAGCTAGCTGGTACATCCTCAGAGAATAGGCCAGAGCTGCCCGCTCCATTCTTCTCCCCCCCCCCCCCCCAGGTGTTCTTTACTCGGAATGGCAAGATCATCGGGAAGAAGGATGCTGTTGTACCCTCTGGGGGCTTCTTCCCCACCATCGGAATGCTGAGCTGTGGCGAGAAAGTCAAAGTGGACCTGCACCCCTTGAGTGGCTAGGAACTTTTCTCACACGCCGGCCCCTTCTCTCTCTCCTGTCCCTTCACAGGACCAGGTGTCCAGTTCCTGACTTCCCTGAGGATTTCTTTACCTGAGGCCCCAAGGGTGTATCGTCACTCTGCCCCTACCAGGTTAGGCCCCTGCCAAGCCATTCTGCGCCCGTATTTCTGACCCGGTGCCACCCCTATCATCAGTCCCTGGGCCCTAGTCCCTGGTTGGACGGGGCAGACCCAAACATAGTGTTATATCTGTGGGTTTCACTCGCTTTGGTCAGGGGCTCCAAGTCCCACTGCCCCCACTGCCAGTGTGGGCGGAGAGGAGTGAGCACCTGCCTCAGCTGCTGTTTGGGCCTGAGGCTCTGCAGAGGGCGGAGCAGACAGCCCCTCCCCTATTTCCCATAGTATTTCTTCTTGCATTTCTTCTTTTGTGTTCCCTGTCTTCATCATGGGAATCAGTTGCTGCTATCATCCCCTGGCTGGGCCAGGGAGCCCTCTCTCCTTCCACTCACTGCTGTCCCTCGAGTCTCTGTCCTTTCTCCTGAGAACCGCTTTCTCCCTCACCACCTACCTGCTCAGGCACCAGAGTTCCACAGAAGCTCAGTCTCCGACTCCCCCAGCCGGACACACAGAAATGGGTGTTTAGTGGTGTGAGAGAGGGGCTGCAGGCAGGGGGGAGGGGGGCAGAGACCGAGTCCTTTGTTCCCGTCTCCCCCTTGCCATCCTTCGTCTGCCGGTGGCCCCCTTGTGTCTAGTTCCCTGGGATGCAGGCTGAGCATGCCTCTCCTGTGGTAGAGAGGGCCGGACTCCAGTGCCCTCACGAGGGTCCCCACGGGTAGCTGGACTCCTCCCCCCTTCCTCCCTGCTTGCTGCCTGTGCCAGTTGTCCGTTTTGCTTCAGTGTTTGATTCTTGGTGGCGTGTCTCCCCCCCACCAAGACCTCTTGTCTCCTAGCCCCTTGACCTCTGACCCCCTCTCTATACAGTGACTTCTCCTGGGAGGAAGCGGGAGCAGGAGCTGTTGGCCTTGGTTTGCACAGAGCAGATAGGGCTCTGGGGAAAGGGGGGTAGCTGTTGTGCTGCTGGGGCTGCCCCGTGGGCCCTCCCTTCGGTCCCTGCACTATGATGTATGAAATGTATGTACAGACAGAGATGTTTATACAGCCAATAAAGATGGAGTTTCCATATTTATCAGCATGGCCAGGACACAGGAGTCCTTTCCAGTGCATAGGGCTGGGGGACAGGGCTGAGGTGGGGCAGCCGAGGGCAGCTTGCTCACTAGGACTCGTGGACCAGCATGAGGCCCAGGATGGGGCTGCGTGTGCTCCGTGGACCTGGCTCTCCCACAGGCACGCCCCCGGGAGACATGGGCTTTGCCCTTCCTGTGAATAGACACGACTCCCAACTCCAAGTAGACATTATAGAAATTCTTTATTATTAGACAAAAATAGACTCTTTCCCCCCCCTTTTCCTGTGATCCCACTCTGATCCCTCTGCTCAGAGAAGGCAGAGGAGGGAGTACGTTGCTCCCCACCCTGCTCCCCTCTCCCCGCCATGCTGGGGCCTGCAGCTGGGTAGAACTGGCTCCTTCCAGGGCTGACGGACAGATGGGGCTGTCCTGATCGCTTCCAGCTCAACTGCTGGTGCCTCCTCACCCTTCACATGCCCATCTCTGCCATCTGCTCACGTGCAAGGTCATCTCGTGGGCCCGTCCACTTAGCTTAGCAGGCTGGGGCGGGGAAGGGGAGCAGTGTCCCAGGCTGGTGCCCACTGCCTATTCCTAAGGGAGAGGGCCGGCTCCTGGGCCCAGGCCGGGGGAAGTGAGGGCTGTGGGGTGCTGGGAGGGACGCAGTGTTGGTGTGGGCTCTGAGCTTGTGGCCTGCCTTCATTTCCTCTGGCCCAGTAGAACTTTGGTGATGAAGGTGACAATGGCGCCTGCAGGCTGATCGGGGTCAAGCTCTGCGAAGAGGTGACACACATTCTCCCAGGGGCTTGCCGGCTTTTTGGCCACGAAACCAAAGATCCTAGGGGGACAAAGGTGGTCAGGTGGGGGCTCAGCAGCCTTCCACGAGGGATACAGAGCCGGGGTGGGGGTGGGGGAAGGAGACACGTCAATCCCGTGGAGGAAAGGGATTGCACTGATGGGAAGCTTACTTGGAGGTGGTTCCATCGGGGTTGGTCCATCTGCAAAAGGAAAGGAACTGTGACGGAATGCACCCCAGGGAATGGCTACCAGAGGAGGAGCTGGCCAGGGGCCTGGTTTGCAGGGCCCGGCGGGGGGAAGGGCGAAGGGAGAGTCACCTCCGGTCCTGAGGGTCAGTGCTGGAGAAGGTGATGCTGTTCACTGGATAATGGCGGCGAAAGAAAAGCCTGTGGAGAGGAGGGAAGGGGGAGTCACACCCAGAAATTGGGGTCCCAAGGGCCTGTGTTTGGGCTTCCCCAGGCGCTCAGGGCACACACTCACTTCCTTTGGTTGTCTGTCAGGGTAATGCCCTGGGCTGAGACCTTGAAGTGCACTACAGCTGGTGTTGGGCGGGGGCTGCAGCCCAGAGCTGCCGAGCTTGCCCGGGCGACCGCCTGGGGGCCCGTCAGTGACTCGGTCTCCACGGAAGTCAGGTAGAGCACACTGCAGGCTTTGGGGACAAGAAGAGGGTTGTGGGGGAGCACTGGCTCCATCAGCCCTGAGAGTTGTCTCCCCTACCCCTCCTCCCCACCAGCTCTTGTACTTTTCCCTGGCTAGCTCTGCTCAAAATGCATTGGAATCACAAAGGTAACTTTTTATTTTATTTTATTTATTTATTTTTTTATATATATTTTATTGATTTTTTACAGAGAGGAAGGGAGAGAGATAGAGAGCTAGAAACGTTGATGAGAGAGAAACACCAACCAGCTGCCTCTTGCACACTCCCTACTGGGGATGTGCCCGCAATCAATGTACATGCCCCTGACCGGAATCGAACCTGGGACCTTTCAGTCCGCAGACCGACGCTCTACCACTGAGCCAAACCGGTTTTGGCACAAAGGTAACTTTTAAAAAAATATATATATTTTATTGCCGAAACCGGTTTAGCTCAGCAGTAGAGCGTCGGTCTGCGGACTGAAAGGTCCCGGGTTTGATTCCGGTCAAGGGCATGTACATTGGTTGCAGGCACATCCCCGGTAGGGGGTGTGCAGGAGGCAGCTGGTCGATGTTTCTCTCTCATCGACGTTTCTATCTCTCTATCTCTCTCCCTCTCTGTAAAAAATCAATATATTTTAAAATAAATAAATAAACTTCATTAAAAAAAAAATATATATATATATATATATATATTTATTTATTGATTTTTCACAGAGAGGAACGGAGAGGGACAGAGAGCTAGAAACATCGATGAGAGAGAATCATCGACCAGCTGCCTCCTGCACACCCCCAACTGGGAATGTGCCCTCAACCAATATACATACCGTTGACCAGAATCGAACCTGGGACCTTTCATTCCGCAGGCTGATGCTCTATCCACTGAGCCAAACCAGTTTCAGCACAAAGATAATTATTAAAAAAGGCAGATTCTGCCAAAACCGGTTTGGCTCAGTGGATAGGGCATTGGCCTGCGGACTGAGAGGTCCCAGGTTCTCAAGGGCATGTACATTGGTTGCGGGCACATCCCCAGTGGGAAGTGTGCAGGAGGCAGCTGGTCGATGTTCCTCTCATCGATGTTTCTAGCTCTCTATCCCTCTCCCTTCCTCTCTGTAAAAAAAAAAAAAAAAAAAAAAAAAAGGCAGATTCTATGACCCCTAGAACTACAGCCAGAGATGCTGGAACTGGACCTGAGAATCTGCATTCCGACGAGCCCCCTCCCCAGGATTCTCATGTTCACAAAACTTTGAGAACCCAGACTGGGGACCTCCTTATCCAACCTCCCTACAATTATGAGGCTCCCCTGCCTTATGGTTTAAAAGCATCTGCCAGGGCCCGTCCATCTCAAGGCCTTTCCGTGTGCTGTGCCTGAGTCTGCAGTGCCCCCGCGGTGCCCAGGGAGGGAGAGGCCCCTACCAGCGCCCTGCCGCAGGAGGTCTGCCGCTGTGCTCATGTTGGCAGGCACTGGGGTCTCCGGGGTCTCCTCCAGAGGATCTAAAGAGAAGCGCCAGCAGGCAGGTCAGCAGGGAGTGGCATTGGAGAGGTCTGCAGAACTCCCTCTGCCACCCCAAGGGAAGGCAGGCTGCGGTGGGCGGGGAGGACAGACAACACCCACCTTTGCTGGGAATGCGCAGACAGCAGGGCAGGGACAGGGGGGAGATGGAGTGCTGGGAGACCAGGGCGGAGAGGCTGCCTGCAGAGAGGGGAGAGAAGTCCTGGGGTGCCCGCAGGTAGCCCCGACCTTCCCCCCACCCTCCTGAAATCCCTTGGCCTCCCTAGACCCACCCAGCGTGGCCTCCCCGGCCCCAGCTTCTCACCAAAGTAGGGCTCGCTGGGACAACCCTTGATCTTCACGCCTTTGGGCCCGGTCTCAATGAGAAAATGGCGGACCAGCTGTTCCAAGGGGTCCCCTGAGAGCCCAGGAGGGAAGAGAGAGGCTTTATCAGATTCCAGGTTCCTGCCTCTAACCAGCTGGGATTTTTTCCAGCGCCTGAGAGTCACTTCCTGTCCCTCCCACCAAGAAGGGGCAGGCCCCGCCACCCCTTGTCCTGCCACTGTGCCTGTCCCTCCCCACACTCCATCCCGTTTGGGTCCGGGGGTTCTGTACCTTTCCAGGGCTGAGCACTGGGTGGGGGTGTAGCCACCTTGAGGGCCAGCCCGTAGGCTCCTTGGAATGAATGGCTATCCCTGATGAGGAAGGCCCCAGGGTCCTTGTCCTTCAGCAGGGCGATGGCTGGGGGAGGCAGAAGTGTTCATTCACAGTGGCTGGCTGAGCCCCAGGCGGCGGCTCGGCTCTGCCAGCCAGCTCCCCAGGCGCTGTCCTAACAGCTGGGGCAGTGTTGGGCATCTGGGCACAGAACTTTAGAATCAACAGGGAGGGTGCTGACAA